AATTTTTTTTTACTAAAATCTGTCCATTATTCAATAGAAATTTTTACAAACAAGTTGATAATTTCTAAATTCTTAATTTGATAAATGTAATAACATATTAAAAAAACCCATTATAACTCTTATAATAAAATTTACTCAATAGAAAATTAGATTTTCATAAGAAAAATTTTTTTAGTTTTAAAAAATTTAATTCACAAAGGTCCATCACCAATTGTTCAGTGGAATTCCCGTGAAGACCTGCTTGTGGAGTCGGCGTCAAGTGATGATCCTGACCTCTTCGTAGCCCTTTATGAGTTCACACCCTCACTAGACAACCAACTTTCACTCAAAAGAGGTCATTTTTCCAATTTATTTCATCTGCCACGTTTCACTTTTAAAATATTGCATCTTTTGGTTGATATTGTAATAGTGTGATTTTATTGGGATTTATCTCTCAATCGGTTGTACCGTCAAAATTATTCCTCATGTACTCTGCTGTATCAACTTTTTGAGTGGCTCAGACTCTACCTGGGCATTTTAATTTTTTTTTCTTGGTTATGAAGGAAATGTAATTAAATTTATGCACTCATTCATAATTCAGGATGAGGATAATTAGAAAAATTTAAATGTTTATTATTATTATTATTTGAATAGTCACCAGCTTTGCGCTGTTCCAAATGCAGACATTGTGAAAATTGAAATTAATGCTATTTTGGTTTCTCAATTTATATATCTTTAAAGACTATGCTATAGCTTTAGATGGCCAACCAGATTCCAAATTATTAAAAATGAAACAATGTATTCTGTAAAGAATTTTATAAATTTATTGTCTACTTATAAAATTATTCCAACAGAGAAAGTTGTATTTTGATAGTCAGATAGAATTAATTTATTGGTAATCTGAATTTGTCAACTTTTTTGTTTTTAATATCTCGAAACGTTGAAACGATGGTTTTAAAGGGGAAAGGTTGCAAGTCTGCGAGAAGAATGAGACAGGGGAATGGTCCATGGTCAAGAAGAAAGATCAGAAGACAGGTTTTTTTGAATTTCTTCTACAAGATCAGTTAATTGATTCTCAGAGGTTTCAACAACACACCCGGCTCATACGGGTACACGTGAATCAACGCAATGCACGTTTCATGTGGTTGGTCGAAACCTGCTGGCATTTGAACCTGCTTACTGCATCAGCAGAATGTGACGCCTTAAGTTACACTCTCATCCCACCGCTTAATCGATTTTTCGTATTTGATGTTGATGTATAGTTAATTTATCTCGAAATTATTAAAAACATGACCACCAGGCTGGGTGCCTACAACTTACCTTGCACCTGTCACAAGTTTGGACAAGCACTCGTGGTTCCATGGCCGCATCTCAAGGAGTGCAGGTAGGTTTCTTGTTTCTCCATGTTCTTTCTATATTGTTTAATCATTTTTATGTTGTTATATATAGCTCTGTACCAAAGTGAACTTTTTCAAATCCAATCGAAGACGAATTTGTACATCTGCTATATTTTATGTTATAAAACTTGTGACTGTAGTTTCATTGGCTTGCCTACACAATTTTCAAACCCAGCTTACAACTTCCTTATATTTCATTCCTATCAATAACTCAATGAATTGAATGTAATTCAATTTGAATTTATACGTCTTTATCGATTTTCATAAATACTGTTGTATTACCCCCGATCTCGGGGAAAATGTCGTCTAAACGTGTGTTGTTGTTGTTTTTGTTGTGTTGTTGTATACAGACATAAATAACATACACATTGGAGCAAACATGCATCAAAAATATATATATAATAAAAACATGTGCGATTATTATGCACGCACCATGTATGTTAACATATTTAGAAAAACAAATCTCCCAATCATCAGTGCTTGGTGTTATGTTTGGTGACTTTTGAAATATAATTGAGAAATGATTGCCACACCAATCAGACGGTTCAAGCGGTTCAATCGTAATTCTTCAAATCCTCTTGCATATATACAATACGTTATCAGTGATTAATACACCTGTAAACAAATTAATGCACGATATGTAAATAGCACAATACACACAGAAATATATCTACCTACATACATACAAATGTACTATCAAATGAGGTGACTAAAATCTGGCTTTAATCCGAAATCCGGACCCAACTTTAGCCGAAGCTGGATTTGAGCCTAGCCTAACTTAATTGAAAATTTGAGTCAATCTGAAAAAATATCTGAATTCCTGTATAACCATTATCTAATTACAATATTCATTTTTTAGTGCTCTGTAAACTTATTCGTTCGTTCGTTCGTTCATTTATTTGTTCATTCATTCATTCATTCATTCATTCATTCATTCATTCATTCATTCATTCATTCATTCATTCATTCATTCATTCATTCATTCATTAATTTACTCATTCATTCATTCATTCATTCATTTACTCATTCATTCATTCATTCATTCATTCATTCATTCATTTTATTCATTCACTCATTTTATTCATTCACTCATTCATTTATTTATACAATTATTTTATTGTTTCTTTTGACACCTATTTGTTCATTCGTTCATTAATTTTGTGTTTATTTATGCACATACGAATTTGAATTCAGATAAAAATAAAATGCGTGTGTATGTGATGTAATGTATTTCATGTGATTTATAACTAGGTACTCTGTACATTTTAATTGTTATCATTTAAATTTGATGTCATTTTCAGATAGAGATCATGCGCTTTTTGAAAATTTGATTCACATGACGTTGAATAAAACTTTTCAAAAAGCAATGTTGAAGTTAACAATTTGCACACATTATCTACCTCATAACGTTATCTCTTGATGGTTACCCGATAACTGCTGAGCCGGCAGCCTATCAAACGTTTTTAACCTAAACGTTTCGTCCCACTTATTATTCAGGAAAATTTTCCCTCTTCATATGTTTTGGAAACATCTTTAACATAGACATTTCACGTGATTAAGTTTTAAACTCAGTTTTTATTTTTAATAACATTATTAATATAGCCTTAGTTAGTGATCATTTAGATTTAATTTAATTTAATTTAATTATTAAAAAATAATTAATAAAAAAAATAAATAGTTATCATTTATTATTCACAATATTATTTTTGTTATTTTTTTTTAATATTATAAGATTTATCACTATTTATTATATTTATATTATTATAATTTTATTATTTATATAGGCAAACGTTGAAGCTTTTTTGACTTTCAAGAGATGCTAATGCATAGGTATGCATACATGAAATAACGCATACATTATACACTTTAGCTTTTTATAGGTAGATAATTTCTGTGTTGGAAATGACCACAACAACAAGCCGAATTTCGTATCATTTTTATTAATCTTCAACGAAATGAGCAATTTTTGTTCTCTAAAGAGACGACTACGTTTTTATTAATTGACGACCAGGCGAGTACTTACTGAAGTCAGGCATCAATGGATCTTTTCTGGTCCGAGAAAGCGAGAGCAGTCCCGGCCAGCTGTCCATTTCATTGAGATTTGATGGTCTCGTCTATCACTACAGGATTAATCAGAATGAAGATCAACTGGTTGGTTGGTTGGTTGGTTGACTGGTTGGTTGACTGGTTGGTTGACTGGTTGGTTAGTTGACTGGTTGTTTGGTTGACTGGTTGGTTGGTTGGTTGACGGGTTGGTTAGTTGACTGGTTTGTTGACCGGTTGGTTAGTTAACTGGTTGGTTGGTTGGTTGGTTGGTTGACTGGTTGGTTGATTGGTTGGTTGACTGGTTGGTTGGTTGGTTGACTGGTTGGTTGATTGGTTGGTTGACTGGTTGGTTGGTTGGTTGGTTAGATTACTGGCTGGTTTGATAACCGGTTGGTTGGCTGGTTGACTGGACTGGTTGGTTGATTGGTTGGTTGACTGGTTGGTTCGTTGATTGACTGGTTGGTTGGTTAACCGGTTGGTTGGTTGACTGATTGGTTGGTTGGTTGACTGGTTGGTTGATTGACTGATTGGTTGGTTGACCGGTTGGTTGACTGGTTGATTTGTTAACCGGTTGGTTGGTTGGTTGACCGGTTGATTAATTTGTTATATGGTTGATTGGTTATTTGATTGGTCGATTGATAAGAGTCGGTGTTGATGAACGTTTAAAAAGCAATTGCGTGTTGGTTATTTCTGGCAAATGATTTGGTGATAATTTTTGTGCCGGAGAATGTACTTGGGCGACGTTTGACTGGTTTCTCATCTAGACATTCCTCGTGGCGTCTTTTGTTTTTGTCATCTTCATTGTGTTCATTGAGAATATAAATTCAGCAATCAAATTAGTAGTTATTGGTATTTTAAAATCAAAGAGACAGATTGAAAAGTGGAAGATTGTCCATACTTCCTCGTCCATAATTCGTTGCCCGCTTATATTCTTCAGAATGGAATCATTTGTTTAGTTTTTGTATTTTTCAATAACCAAGGTTTGATGAGTTATTTCCCGTTTCACTATCGACACCAATCTTTGGATGTTTTAAAAACGAAGGCAACTCCAACGATATTACTTCACTGTCGTATCATTAAGTGCTTGCAATGTTTCTATTCATTCTGACAACTACAGGCAGGCTCATCTCTCTTGCTGGCAGATGTCATTAACTGTCATTAATTTTGCTTTATGTTTTGTTCTTCAATTGGTTAATGATATATTTATGCATTTTTATGTTCTGTCTCTATTTCCACCTTTTCCTTTAATTGTTCATATATTACTTGATATTATTTTCATAGGTCTAATGGGAGCTCTCCGAAGCAATTTAGTTACACACGAGCATTATGTACATATAATCAATCATTCATTCACATGTGGACTGGACACAAACTTGATTACACACACCACGACAGTATTTCATAATGGCGGACAAATCCTTCACCACGATCCCTGAGCTTGTACACTTTCACTCCAAATCAGCCTGCGGTTTGGTCTGCTCCCTGCAGTACCCAGTCTCCCGCAAGAACAAGCCCACCATATACGAGGTCTGTCCCAACCAATCGGACAAGTGGGAGATCGATCGGGTCGAGATTCAGATGCTCGGCATACTGGGCTGTGGGCAGTACGGGGATGTGTACGAGGGCTACTGGGTACCCTACCGAATGAAAGTGGCAGTCAAAACACTTAAGGTAATGCAAAACCCCAAGTTTAAGTATTTGTAACTGTTTAAGTATTTACGGCTTCTATCTGTTTAACTGTAAAATTATTTTATCGATATTTGTCTGTGGTTTCGCTGTTTTTGCTCCTGCTACTTCGATCGAGTGTAATGATTTTTTTTTCAGTTTTGTAAACTTCATCGTTCTGTGTTCTAATAATTAACTATAGGTTTGCAAAAACATTAACATCAGCATTTTAGTATCAAGTGGGCATGAATTAAATATGATATGATATTGATTCAAATTATCATAAATTATCAATAATTGTTCTCATGGTGTGATATTTATTCATTGCTGTAATAAACTATCATGAATTGTCTTGGATGGATTACCGTTGGTTATCTGATGTTTAAAAAATGGAAGGAATGTAATACCATATTGTAGCATGATTATCTTCAGGAAGAAACCGCATCAGCGGAAGATTTCGTGAAAGAAGTTGGCATCATGAAACGCATGAAGCATCCCAATCTCTTGCAGCTTATTGGTTTGTTCATGTACATTTTCGTCCTTTCGCCAGCCATTGTTCATATAATATCTATGCATTGCCCATCGGTGTTTCTGTGAATGTTTGATAGATTAGTTGGATTTTCATATGATTTTGAAAGATCCAATCATTTTAGGAGTGTGCAGCAAGGAACCGCCCATGTACATCGTCACCGAGTTTATGGTCAATGGCAACTTGTTGGATTATTTACGAAGCACCCCTCGAGATGATCTTGAACCAACCACCCTCCTCTACATGGCTACTCAGGTGCTTGTCAAGATATTTTTTTTAATTTATTTGTTATTATTTTATTATTTAAAGTATTTTTAGTATTTTTATATCAGTCATTATTTTTATTTGATATTGTTTTCATACAGATTGCTTCGGCTATGATGTACTTGGAATCGAAGAATTCTATTCATAGGTTGGTTCAATGTTTGTTTATTTTATTTTTGTTAATGTTTGTTTATTCAATTTTATTCAATTACAAACATCATGCTGACAAACACACAACTGAAACACACAACTTTCAGGGACTTGGCAGCCAGAAATTGTTTGGTTGGTGAGAACCACTTAGTTAAGGTGGCAGACTTCGGTCTGGCTCGACTGGTTCGTGAGGAGACGTACACGGCGCAGATTGGATCGAAGTTCCCCATCAAATGGACGGCCCCTGAAGGGCTAGCCTACAGTCAGTTTTCAACTAAATCTGATGTTTGGGGTGAGTTAAAATTAATTTACTTGGATCGCGTGTCTTCTTAAATATTTGAGAACTGTTATTAACTCATCGGAAACACGAAAGGCTTCGTCCAAAACTTCACCTCAAGCATTTTCATAACGCAAACGTCATCCTTATGCTAACTACCATCTGTAGCATTCGGCGTCTTGTTGTACGAACTAGTGACGCATGGAGAGCCCCCCTACCCGGACGTCAGCATCGCCGACGTGTACTCGTTCCTGGAGACTGGACAGCGCATGGACTGTCCCAGGAACTGCCCACAGAATGTTTACCAGCTGATGAGGAAATGTTCGTTTGCTGCTAATGATTGTTTCATTGTGATTGTTGTTCATTGCTCAGGTACATTTAACAAATGTTCGTTGTTTTATTTGTTACTCATTGTTATTCAGTTGTCATCAATAGCAGTTGTTCAAGTTATATTTTGAGCTTGTTTGTTGAAATGATCTCAATGATTGGTGGCAACTCTAACAAAGTTACGTCTTGTCATTTAGATATCTTTCACCATTTTTTCTGACTGCAACATACTCACATACTTCAAAGAATGTTTACATGACGATGGTGGTAATGTAAATAATTGATTGTCGTGTTGTGCTGGTGATAATCCTGTCGTCGTAAAGTTGATATGATGATAATGCTGTTGTGATTGTGATGGTGATGTGATGGGGATGTGATGGTGATGTGATGGGGATGTGATGGTGATGTCATGGTGATGTCATGGGGATGTGATGGTGATGTCATGGGGATGTGATGGTGATGTCATGGGGATGTGATGGTGATGTCATGGGGATGTGATGGTGATGTCATGGGGATGTGATGGTATTTTGTGGCTAATAGTAACGATAGAGAGCGATTTTTGTGATGAAAACAACGATGGTGAGGATTGTATTGTAATGATGAGAACACTTGCGATCAGGCTGGCAGTGGGAAGCCGAGAAACGACCGACCTTCAAAGAAATACATTCCATGCTTGACAACTTGACGCAACCCTGTGATATTAATTCAGGTTGTGAAGATGTTGGTGTCATGAGGGTCTGATGTCGGTGTCATGATGGTCTGATGTTGGTGTCATGATTGTCTTATGTTGATATTGTGATAATGTGATATTGAAGAAGATGTTGATGGGGTGACGATAACGATGATGCGGTGATAGGATTATGTTGCTGTGGTTGGGACGATGATGTGATGTTGATGCATCGATGATATGTAATAATGATTCCTAACATAATCAGTACCGCCAAAATATCAGTTTTCATACCTTTTGTACCTCACCAACCTACTATGGCCATTCTATATGACGTCGATATAGTTATCCATCATGCTGTTCCCACCTGACAGGTTCATCTGGTGCGAGTCAATCTGCAAGTGACCCAAAAACGAAATCCCAGACCGCAAATGCATTGAAACCCTCCAAAATGAAATCTATAAACGTCATCGCGAAGCCATCTGCTTCTTCAACTGCATCAACTGTCTCTCAGTCGAAAAGCAACAAACCTGCAAAAATAAAAAATGCCTCAAAATCGCGGACACTGGGTGCTCAAAATTCAACACCACCTTCAGTTTTAAATTCATCATCGACAACGTCTTCACTGACATCTTCATCACCACCTTTGTTGAAGAACAAATCAAACCTTTTCATACCTTCAATCAATGAGAGCTCATCGTCCAGTTCAAATTTAAAATCTGATCTTAGTAAGAAGTTTGTTATCAATGGGCAGTCTTCAATGCCACCATCATCGTCGTCATCTTGCAAGACACCAAACAGTGCACCGACGATATCACCCTGCAGCAAGCCATTCGTTAAGTCACACTCTGCTAAAACTACCGTTTTTATCAAGCCATCAGTGCCGCCACCCCAACCACCAATTAAACCATCCACACCTGCCAAACCAACTGCAACAGATCACAGTGCAGTTACGACGCAAGCTCTTAACACGGCCATTCACAACGCATTGCCAACTATCGCCAGCGCTTCTATTACCACTAAACCGCCGACGTCACAACGACCACAACTCTCCAAACAAGTCACTCTGTCGTCGAACGCAGGCAAGAACAATCCCGCGGTTCCTGAAAAGCCAGCAAAGATCACTACATGCAAATCCATTGATGGCAACAATAGACCTCCATTGCCGCCTGTCTCTGCCAAGTACAGTCTCACATGATGTCTGCCAACTACCTGCCATATGATGTCTGGCATGTACAGTCTCACGTGATGTCTGGCATGAACTGTCTCGTCTGTTATCTGCCGTGAACTGTCTCGTCTGATGTCTGGCTTGTACCGTCTCGTCTGATGTCTGGCATGTACTGTCTCGTCTGTTGTCTGCCGTGAACTGTCTCGTCTGATGTCTGGCTTGTACCGTCTCGTCTGATGTCTGGCATGTACTGTCTGTTGTCTGCCGTAAACCTCTCGTCAGATGTCCTGTTTGTACCGTCTCGTCTGATGTCTGGCTGGTACTGTCTCATATAATGTCTGCCCTGTTTCACGTGACGTTTAGTCCTGTGACACTTCAGCCATCGATATTTTGCCTGGATGTTTTTATCCATCATTTTGTTGTCGTCTGATGTGCCAATGTTTATTTTGAAATACATGTGTGTGTGTGTGTGTTTGTGTTTAAATCAGACAGAGCGTGATGTTTGATTAATATTTTCATATTTTTTCGTTTGTTTTATTATTGTGCTTTTGAGAAGGACTTACGATTTGACCAGTAAAAAATCATGCGATCTATTAATTTTATCATTATTTTCTTGTAAGTATTTCGCATTTAATTAAATTTAACTTTCAATAACTTGGACAGTTTATAAATTCCAATAATATTTAATTATGCAATATGTTGTGATTTTCTATGCTCTACGCTTTTTGTAATTCTTAAATTGTGCTACGATTACACTTAGAGCTAGTGGATCATACAACCGTTACATTACACCATTACACTTAAATTCTTTATCAGAATTTGTTGAAATGTGATTATTTTAATTCATTGCTGAGTTGTTTGAACTTTGTTAGCTAGACATATTGATATCGCCCATCTAAATCTAATAAAAGATGAAGAATTTAAGTGTAATCTAAATCTGGCTTGATGGTCACATCTCTACGACGTTTGCCTTGCTTTTTCCTTTTCTTCTGACATTCAAATTTTGTTTTGAATTGGTTTTTTAATCATTTTCAACTTACCAGGCTAACAAATTATTTATTATTATTATTCTCTCGTTGATGTTCCTTAGAAGTTACCACAGCAAGCACACAGTGACACATGAATCAACACATCACACACTTTCAATTGTGATAGGCAGGGATCATTTCATAATCGAACTCGGACACTGCATCAACAATGTCAGGCACCCTATTCATTACACCATCGCACCGCCAGATGCTTTCTTCGATAAACAAATACATTCAAATAGATCTAAGTTTGTTTAATTTAAAATTGTTACTTCATGTGTGATTTTTTAGGAATATAATGTCGATCGGCTACAAATTTTAATAGTCAATGCTATTTTTTGATGTAGTTTTTAACGTGTGGTTTTGTTTTTTGTCAGAGTTCAAATGCTAACATCACCAGTTAAAATGCATCCAAGAGATATTTTGGATGGTTTACGGTGCTGTATGCAATTGAGCTGGATCTGAAGAAGTTCATAGATGGCACTGTTCATTGGTGTTATTTGTTGTTATTTCGTTGTTTTATGATTTGGAATCTTTCATGATTTCAAATTTAACCGGTTCATTTTTATATTTTTCGGAACATGGCTCATATATTGCTCTTTAGGTTATTGAATCCATATATAATTAATTTTATATCCATGATTGTTTTTTTTCAAATTCACATTCACATTTTCTCAATAATTTTTATTGTTTTATATTTTAATTTATTTTAATTCATCGTTATAACTTCATATAAAGAGTTTTTAACACCCAAATTTCAAATCCAAATAATACAAGTTGATCAAAATGTACTTACTATTCTTCTTGAACCTAGTTAACGAACAACAGTTAACGAAACTGAAGTTAGTCAAATGAAATGTTTCATGCATTTATGTTTAGAATATTCGTTCTTTCACGAGAAACTTTTAAAAATTGTAGAACTTCAATATTTTCAATAAACATTCCGGATGATTAATATTTATTTTTTGGCACCTGACATTTTACTGCCTATTATAAAAAATAATTGTATATATTTTAAATACTACAAATAAATATTGAAAATACACAGATAATTGAAAAATAAGTGTATTTGTTTATTTATAATAAAATAAAATGTTCAAAGAACGGTTGGTGTTATGTTGAAATTATGTCTTCGATGCAAGGTTTATTTTACCATTTTTACTCTATCTCCTTTTGTTCTATGTTGTCCGCTTTCTGTATACAGCTGCAAATACGGACCATCATGTGTTAAATGGTGTCAGTTTGTATACCTTTACATTTTGATCGATTTTTTTTATTGAGGTGATTAATTGAGGTGATTTATTGAGGTGATTTGTGCATTATGCATTTTTTTTGTTTATGTTAGTGCATACGTTGTATATAAATTACTACTGACTAATGACTGCAACAACATTAACGAGAAGACTCACTATGCATAAGCAACATGGAGCAATAAAAGACCACCTAATGGAACAACACAACACTATTATAACAAGGGAAATTTTAGACAATAACACCAAAGCAATTTATCAACCTTGAGTTCATCGGCAACTTCTCGAGTAGTTTTAGCTGGGTTTGCGTCAATAATTTCCTTCAGTTTGTCAAATATTACAACAGAGAATACTTCAAATTGAAGATAGCAGAGTCAATTTTCATCAATAAACGTAAACCATCAATAGATATTCAACTAAATAATACCAATATTCTTCCAACAAAGAAACACATGATTAACTTTAATTCTAATTAAGTTACAATCAAAGTCGCTGTGAAAATAAAGACACAAATACAGAACAATACTATATAACTACACAGATGATGGCAGTTGATGCCGAAAAGAACTTTTCTGTAGTAATAACGTTATTAAATGTCAAATATTGAAAGTTTTGAAATTCAAATATTTAACCTTAATAAACCTCACCAAGATAATAAAAGTCTCGTTAGAAAAATTGAGAAACTCAATTACAAGTTGAATAATGCCGAGAACGCAGTAATCTTTATAAATATTGTATTTTTGATAGTCTAAACACTATATAAATAAAATTAAATGGATATTTATATTTACTAAAATAATTAAGAAGTCAAGTATTTAAATTCGTGCACTTTTTGTACGTTTAAGTATTTATAATCTATTCACCAGAACATTCAAAAAACATTTGTATTAGATGTCAAGTAACATTGTTATTTTTTTAAATAAAATAAATTTTGAGAGTTTAAAATATTTAAAGTAAATGAAATAATAAAAGGTTTAAATATTTTTTTTAAATCACCCAAAACGGCACGAACATTTTGACGAATAAAACCGTTGAATCCCGCGCTCTACGAATTTCAAATCAGAAAAGTCGTGTCGGATTTTGAACGTGACATATCGTTTCCATGGTGACGCATTTCAAACTGAAGGTTTGAAAATGATTATTGAATGCTTTTTTTATACAGATACAGGAGAATGGTGTTTTATTAGAGACTGAAGGTGTGAAAATCTGAGTAATATGGTTGAAAAGAAGAGCACGATAAACTACGATTACTATAATGAAGATGATGTGAGGATTTTATATTTTAATTAACTTATTTAATAATTTAATGTTTAATGTTAATCTAATTAATTTAATATTAATAATTGTTGAGTGTTCTTAATCAATGTAAAACCGGTAATGAAATAAATTGAAAACTCATTCTATTTTGAGATTTACTACCCTGATTGAAAACTTCATTCATTGTCATTAGGATTAGAGAATTTGTCGCCAGATAATTATTTAGTAAGAAAAGTTTGGACGGAATTTTATCTTCTTGACTACATTAATAATTAATATTAATACATTGCCTATTAAAATCTACAAAAGTATTAAGACAATAACTGATTATGAAACAATGAGACATTATAAGAACAAGTCTATTTAATTAATTATGAAATTGTGACAAGATTTTCCAGCTTGTGTATATGCTGTCAATTTAAAAAAAAACTTCACACAAATGCAGAATTGAATTACAAAATGTTATGTGGTTCCAAACATAAGGTGTGGCCTCTTTATATTATAGTGAATGCTAAGCAAATAACTTATTTTTAATTTGAAAGAGATTGATTAAATAAAAGTAAAGATAAATTAAAATCACATCCACAAAAAATTACTCTTATTAACTTTTATAAATATTTACATAGTCATTTTCATGCTGGGGTGCACTGGCTATGTGGCGCGTCTCGAGGTGGTGGATAGGGGAAAGTCCTGGGCAGGGAGACCTTCTAAGATCGCAATAAGATACCGCGAACCAATTGTACCAGAAGAAAGAAGAAAACGGGAAAAGAGGCGGAGGATCCTAGGACAATGGCTCCAACAGCGGATGACCTTCTATTCTAAATCCACTGCCTTGTGGAACAGGGACCTTTGACCCAAAGGCTAGGTGTACTGCTTACAACAGTGCTTGCTCTCTTGGGATAAACTGCAACCGCGCTGCCTCGTGTGCTTCCAGCAAAAAGGTTAGGCTCACTGCTTTTAACTGGTGGTTGTGGTTAGGAATTGGGCAATTCTAAATATAAAAATTTTTTGACCCACACATCTTTCACATCATCACAAAAAAAGAAAAAAATACCCTATTCTCTGGAAGACCTTAAATGGTCAAGAGGTGAAATATCTAGGAAGTACGAAACAGTTGTTGCGGAAAATCTGGCGTCCTCCCTGGAATATCAGACTTGGCACTTTAAATACTGGATCGCTTACTGGACGTTCCATGGAGATCGTCGAAATGCTGGAAAGGCGAAGGGTGGACATCGGTTTTCTGCAGGAAATAAGATGGAAATTAAATGGTGTCTCTCATTGGGAGTTACAAGTTGTTCTGGAATGGCCAAAAGACAGTCCAAAATAGAGTGGGAATCTTCATACGGGAATCACTGGCACAAAATGCACTGGAGGTGACTTGAATCAGCTCACGCCTAGGGCTTATTAAACTGAGAATGGAAAAACAGGTTCTGACTGCTTTTTCTGCATATGCATAACACACCGGTAAATCTAAAGACGCCAAAAATGACTTCTGGAACACACTCTTAGATGCCGTCAGGAAAACACCATCATCAGAAATACCATTGATATATAGCGTCCTTATGGCCATGTTAGAGTTAAAGCAAATGGTTCCACGGTGTCCATGAAGCCTTTGGCTACGGGTCTCGAAACGAAGACGATGTGCGAATTCTGGAACTTGCTGAAAGCCATGAACTCTCCCTGTTGAACACTTAGTTCTAGAATGAGCAGAACATTTGATTACATATAAAAGCGGGATGTCAAGCTAATAAATTAACTTTATTGTCGTCAGACAACAACACAGATGACTATTCAGGAATATCAAAGATATTCTAGGCGAAGCATGCATCCCTAAACATCGATTGCTGGTGGCCGAAATAATCATGGAACGATCACGCCCTATGACTGATCGAATGCCAGCTAGAATAAAGACATGGAAACTGAAGAACCCCGTGTTCAGAAAAAAATTCGAGGAGTTTGTATCGGCACAGCTGGATTGTCTGAAAAAGGTAGACATAACCTGGAAATTTTTTCAGGACACCCTAGTGAATGCTGCAATAGCTGTATATGAAAAATCTGAACCAAAATGCCAGCACAACCGCGAAACTTGGTAGTGAAACGAGATGGTGCAAAATGCTATTGCCAGTAAGAAAGCAGCTTTCAAATAATGGCTGAAGACGAAGACTGATGAAGATCGAAAGGCATACCGAGCAAAGAACACAAAAGCGAAAAGTCAGGTTGCAATAGCTCGAGCAAATCAATGCAAGGCATGGCTGACTGGAAGTAAAGGCGAAAAAATTCGGCTATTCTACCAAATAGCAAATCAGGCCAAAAGATTGAAAAAAGATATAGTTGGTGCCACATGCATAAAAATAATAAAGGCACCATAATAACCTTACAGAATTACTTCAATCACCTTATGAATGAAACAAACCCTATCGATGGAAGGACCGAATCAGGGCATCACAGGGCATCACAGCTGAGGAGCAATGAAAGGGATTAAAGCGGCTGGTCCGACTGGACTTATAAATGATATCATCAAGGCATCTAGTGGAGCAGGCTTTAGAACCTTCTTACACATCTGTCGAGAGATGTAGAGTAAATCGATACTACCAGTGGAATAAAACAGCAGCACATCTGTACCGATATATAAAGAAAAAGGAGATCCACTGAATTACTACTCATATCGGGGTATATGTCTTTTGGAACATCCCCTGAAAGTTATTGGAAAAGTCATTGAGAGAAGACTGCTGTCGTTCTTTTCAATAGGTGGTTACCAGTACGGCTTCATGGCAGGGAGATCCACCATTGATGCTATCTATATCATTTGTGCACTACAGGAAAAATATTTGACAAAGCAAAGCGACTGTTCCATGTTTTATGGACTTGGAAAAGACTTTTGACAGATGCCTCGTGAGACAATCAGGTGGAGTCTAAGTAAATAACTTGTTCTCGAATATTTGCCCTGGTTTTCTGTCTGACGCAGGCAACCCGTTTCATTACCGTCTCGACGGCAGCCTCTTTAACATAAAACGACTCATGGCGGAAAGCAAAGTTTCACACGTGAGGATTTTCGAATTTCAATACGCTGACGATGCTGCCTTTCCTGCCAACACCATCTCCGCTCTCCAAAATAGTCTTAAAGTCTTGTCGTGTGCCTATAGTTGTGCATAACTTGTTGTCAACACTGCAAAAACCGAGGTACTCTCCCTTGCTACAAATCAAAACAAACCAATTACATCTTTCGTAGTTCATAGAGATGCTTTTAATGATTCGCAGGAATTCATGTATCTTGATAGTATGCTCAGTACTGACTGCTGTCTGGATCGTGAAATTGAGCATCGTATTAGGGTAGCGTCGGCTGCATTTTGCAGACTGAAGAGTCGCGTCTTTTTAAATTACTATCTTACCGTGATGACAAAGCTTTTTGCATTACTGCACTGGTTTACGGTAGTGAGTCCTGGACTCTTTATCGTCGACACATCAAGGCCCTCGAGGCCTTCCATGTTCGCTGGCTTCGCAGCATTCTTGAAATAAGATGGTAGCACACAATACCATTCACAGATATTTTAGGATGAATATCTATTGTTACAACAACAGCTGCGTGAGATAGGTCATGTTATCAGAATGGCGGTGTCTCGTCTACCTCGTAGCAAACTATCAAATGGCTGTCGTTCAGTCGGTCGGCATAGAAGCGATTCGGGGATCAAGTATAAAGCGTACTTCAGAAATGTAACATCAACGCGGCTGGACTTGAAAAAATAGCGAAAGATCCGTCTACATGGATGACTAAGATTGCTATGTACAAAGCTTTTTGCATTACTGCACTGGTTTACGGTAGTGGGTCCTGGACTCTTTATCTACAGGCGTCGGTTATCCGTCATGCGGCAACATCAAGAGAATTGAAACCAACTGGTCCTCGATGCTCCCATTGTGCTAAACTATACACATCAGATTTTAGACTTAGAAGTCATCTATGATTTCATAGAAGGTCGAATATCGCTATTTCGGTGATCAACACAACATAGTAGTATTGGTAGAATAGTAGTATTGACGTTTGCTATTCCATCTTTGGATGTTCACTCCTTGTGTCTTTGTATAAGCAGATCGACAATTTTCACCCATTTAATTGTGTTTATATATATAGATATAATAAAAAAAGTTTAAGCAAATTTATTTGTTACTGGTGTCCATAATATTATTATGGGCATTTATGTAATGTTTTACTAAAAATTGAAAATAATTAAAAATTGATAATTTATATTAAATTGATAGCTGTAATAAAATTATTTTGCAAACTTTTCAAGGCAGAGCACGAATATATAAACTCGAAGCCTACAAGTTTTTTAATTTTAGGCAAACCGGGAACAGGAAAGAAAGCATTGGCAAAAGAGATTGCAAAAGAATGGAACTGCATTAATATTAATGGCTAGATTATAGATTATTTAATTCGATAACTTATTCTAGTTCTTAAAATTTTCAAATTATATAGATTTTAAGGTAATGTAGATTGTGTAGTTAAAATTAAATTTCATAAATTTTTTACCACAGTTTTGGAATTATGCACGGAGCACATAAAAGCAGATAAGCAGGTACACGCTGATGTTTACACAGCACAAACTGGCGACAATGTAATTAAAGATGATCTGGTTTTAACGCTGATTCAAAAGAAATTGAAAAGTAACGCCGTCTTGCACAGAGGTGTCATTCAGTTAATATTAAATGATCAGTTTTTTCTATAGAGGTTTAAACAGTATTTTTAACAAAATATCAAGCTGATATTCACACTTTTAAATATGGCTCTAATTGTCTACTTAAAAATAAGGCTATGTGTTGTCAGAAGTACCCTCGTTAAGCACCAGTACCATGACCTTTCAGCATCAGATGGACCTCATCTACAATCTTTACCCTCAACCAGATTTTGTCATTTTGTTGGAAGTTAGTCAGTCGACATTAACATTTTATTTAAATATTAGTTTTTGGAGATGGTTTTGTTTCAAAGGAAATTGTTTCCACACATCGTTTTATATATATATAAATTATTTATATATGAGTGCTTCCGTTCGTCTCCGTGTATAAATATACAGATGCATGTATCTAAAAAAGCTCGATCTTGAAAGTCGTTGGTATACATGTGATGAAATGAATGAATAATTTTCAAATTTATCAGATGGATTCTGAAGATGTGCTGGTTGAAAAGACATCACTAAAATTTGATCCGCTAACCGGCTCTGTTTATAGAAAACAGGATTATGATGAGAATTTCGAAAAAGAGGTTAATTATATCCATTTAAGGGATTGTTGGACCAGTTTGGTTCTGTTTTTCGTAATCATTTTTAGGATTGAGATATTGAGATATTTTTGTTTCTTTTTACTCATTTTTGTTGACATATTTTATCCTAGTTACGTTCTGTCATTTCAAATATTTCAGTGAAGTTTTGAACACATATTTCAGACACAATTTAAAGACAGCGACTTTTGTTGTCCAAAACTTTAGTTCCCACACTTTGTTTAATAAAGGATCATTTTTTTTAGTTGTTTTGTGATTTGTTATTATTATTAAATGGTAGGTGTATCGTGTATCACAACTTTTCTAGAACTTTTATTAACGTAGTCTTGTTATTTTTTTAACAGTAACTATTACGATTGACAGAATTATATTATTGTGTTTGATGATGCATTGATTTTAGCAAATATTTTTTTACTTCTTATATATAGGAGAAATTTATAAAGATTTTTGGTAATAAAGTTTGCATAATTGAAAAGGGACAATGCTGCTGAGATTGCTAGTGAAAATTGTGAAATTAAAATTTTTTATATTCTGGACAGCGTCAAGAACATCTGAATAAAGCATTGAAACAGGTAAAAATACAACCAGAAATGACAAAACAAGAATTTGAACTTATTCAAAAAAAGTTAGAAATGGAAAAAATGCGAAAATTAAACAAAATTGGAGGTGACGATGATGATGACGAAAAAAATGTGGATGACGAAGACGAGAAAGCAGTACAGTCAAAAGAAAATGTTGAAGATAGTGAAAAGGTAGAAGAAGAAGATGAACAAAATGAAGAAGAAGAAGATGAGGATGATGAAGAAGAATCATCTGATGAGGACGAAGAAGCCAAATTAGCCAGAAAAGCAAGGATAAGTAAACGACAATTAGATAAACAGTTAAAAGCTTTCTATCAGGTTACTTGGCCGATTTATTATTTAATGGTATTTCTTATTTATTTTCAAATTTTCATGTTGCATTAAAATTGTTTTTGAAATTTGTTGTTTATTTATTATTCAATGAATTTTTTAATAATTTTTTCAACTTTGATGATTACAAACATTATGTTCAATTATTTTAAAAATTGCTTTCTTCAGCGACTTACAACCGGCTTATCACCCGCAATTCTGAACCGATTAGTCAAGCTGCCTCAAAATTTCCCAGAGAAACGATCTGAAATATTGAATTTGTATGATAAAGAATTAACTCCTCATTTAAATGTTAGTGCTTGTTTGATTGACATTTTTTCTTTTCTAAGTTAGACAAAATGTATTAGCTGAAAGTAAATTGAGTTCAGAATGATTGTATAAAACATTTACAAGATTCGATGTTGAAAATTTTGTTTATTGCACGAATTGACGAGAAGCTTTTTTGGATCTTATTTTGAGCATTTGAGACAAATGGCATTGCTGATTACAACAGATTCTCTGATTTTTTCGCATCTATATGCATTTATTTATTCCTTTGAACAGTTTCTTAAATTTTTTTTATATTTTAGTTGTACAAGTTATTCGACAGATTATCAGATTGAATATATTTACGAGAAAATTAATGTTATTACTTATGCTTTCAATAAAGAATAACTAATATTATGAAATAATCATTAAGTTTTTAAATATGCAAAGTTTGTTAAAGTTAAAGTTTGTGCTAGATAAGATTAAGATCCTCTGTTTCAAAACGTGCAATAAGGTCAGTTAAAATAATAATAAGAGAAATAATAAGATAAAGACATTTTCAACGAACATAGCATTTTTCCTATTCAATATGCAGTTGATACTCATCTTACACATGATCTCCGTGTTTTATTAAGCCGTGTGAGCGACATTCATCAGTGATATTTAAAGCTCACAATTGCGAGACGTAGCTTGTCGGCACACATCAAAACCACAAACATTTGTAACATTTCATAAGATGCTCTTATGTACCCGCACGATTTCATGTTAACAATCACACACTCCGTCAATTACTTGCTTTCATTTCGGACTAATATCTAAATTTAATAGTCATCATTTAAACGTTTTTTAACTACTGTTCCTGCGCTTTAAAACACATTAACAGGCTCGCAAAGGATGTCGCAACTACTCTATGTAGTTGTCTAATTAAGATTGACTTCAACTCATTTTTATATAAAGCAATCGGTTCTTTTTTTAAAAAGCTGCAGACTATTTAAAACAACACCATCAAACTCATACTCAGAAAACCTCTCTCCAGTTTCCCTTCCAGAACTGCACTGACTTCTAGATTCCTTTCTGAACAGTTTCAATTAGCAACTCTAATTTTTAAAATCCGACAGACAAGGACCACACCATATTTACGTATTTTCATATCACGATCACTATAAACAAACCAAATCATTTGACGCATTTTTATTAAATTTCCTAAACATCCTTATTGCCAAATCCATCCTCCCATTCCGCCATACTGTTCTGGACGTTTGAAGTAAATTAGGGTGGTAGCTCTTAAAATGTTTCTCATGAAAATTTTAAGATGCACTAAACATGTATTAGTATTATTATGTTATTTTATTTATTTATTTTCATTTATTATTAATAATTTTTTCACTTTGATGATAGTGGCTAATTTTTTAATAGATTTACCTATCGAAGATCAACAAACAGCACTTGTTCAAACTCAATGCACTCAAAAGTACCAGTGTCTTAATAAAAGAGGTCAGTCCAATTCATTGTTGAAAGGAAAAATTTATTTTTATTTGTTCACTGGAATTTGTACATCGTTAACGAAAATCAATCTTGAAAATGAAAGGTGTTAGAGCGGTTGAAGTGTTTCCACGCTCGGCCTGTGTGTCTCGTACAACCTTTTACGTATCCTCTCGATAAGATTTTGTTGAAGGAAGCACAAGAACGTGATGTGAAACCGGATTACGAAGAAGTAAAGGAGAAATATCGAGTTGATGATGATCTGGAACGAGGTTTATAAAGTATTACATATGCAGCGCTTACCCCACAATAACAAACGCGTTTTTAAGCATTTCTTCATTTTAATATTTAAAACATTCGAAAGAAATTTACAATGGATGTAATTTCAACTTTTGCTCAAACCTTTATTTTAATTACGCTCAATTACCTATAAAAATAAAATTTAGATGTTTAGATTACTAATTTTAACAAATTTCAGAGAGTTTATCTGAAGAATTTAATAGAAATGTAGAGGAGGAAGCGGATGACAAAGGTTTGATTTTTGCATCGGAGATATTGTAAATGTTTTATTTTGGTAATATTCTTCACTGACATTGTCTTGTCTTCAATTTTTATTATGACCCACTAAAATCAGTTTTAATAAATGCATGCCAAGGTATGCTCCTCACCCAAATGTTCAAAAACATTAATCTTTATGCGACTTTTGCAATTTATCCAGAAAACTTTTAATGCATTAACTGCTTTTATACACTGTCTTAGTCTATAGCAGCCGGAGCTTTACATTATTTTTTTGTCGATTTTTAGTTTGTTCAATATTATTTTTGAATTGTTTTGTAATGTTTGAAGTTTATTTTTTGGAAAAAAGCGTTTGAATTATTTTAAAATTTTTATAATGTACATTCTAAATATAGTTCGGCCTGAAAAAACTGAAACTGAGAACATTGAAACGCCAAATCAACAGTTTTTGTCAAGAACTAATTCGGTTGTTGCTGCTGGGTCGGAAGAATTAATATCCGAAAAAGAAGGATCGACAGAAAAACAGGCGGACGAGAACTTGAACACCACCGCCCAGAAAGCTGAAACATCTCCGATACATAAAACAACGTCCCCTTATGACAGCAGCAGCTCCGAGGATTTGGAATTAGCAAATGAACAAAAGAGCCAGTTAAATGAGGAAGATTTGTTCGATGAGCTTCCTTTAACAAATCTGTTAGCCAAAGGTGGAGGGTGGAGGTGGCGCAGAAGCAAATGGAGGCATTATTGTCCTGTGGCTCTTTTGAAAGGGGAACTTATTCCTGGGAAAATAGATTATGCCGTCAGGTCTGATTATTTATAGCTTTACATTTTTTTATTATATACAGAAGAGTTTTCAATCATTTTCCATATTCCGAAAAAACTTACAAAATGGATTTAAATTTAATTGATGAATAAACATTTTATAGTTCTGTCTGATGGCTACTGCTTTTCAGGTTACTACAATACAAAATATAAAAATACAAAAATACAAAGTACACACACATCACACGTCAAACAGGTACGATTTCATAACAAAACGTAACTGACGTATAAATAAGCATATTTTAGGTTTGAGACTTTAAGAAGTTTCTAGTAAAATTTGCTAAATTTTATGTCTCTTTATAATTGTTACTTATTCGCTTTGTTTATTTTTTCACTAAAATTTTTGAATGTTCTTGTATATGGTGATGCTTCAATCTTATTATTTGTCTTTACGATTTTGAATGATGTTTAAGATTGATATTTGCGTTTTAGCCTAACAATTTTTGACCTTGTTTTGTCAAACTATTTTACGTTTATTTTTCCAATTTTTTTTTCATTAAGTCAATTTGCTAGTTTTAAAATTTTATCAAACTTTAGTTTCAAAATTATCGTTTTATATGCAAGAGTGAAAAACAAATTTGTCGCCAAAAAAAATTTGTCGCCTAATCCTGGGTTTCAATTATTTTTACTGTCTTTCCTTTTAAGCCAAATGTTTACATATTTCAAATTATTAAACTCCTTTTTTATCATGTTTCATGGTTTTTGTTGTTCCCAACCAACGTTAGTGAAGAATTATTTTACAACAATGGTTCACTTGCTGCAACTCGTGATAACATGCACGCAGGTATCTCGACAAATTGTACGCGTTATCTAGTGAAAAGGCATTAAGAAGTTTTGTAGAAAATCCGCGGACGTACCTTCTGTCACCCAACCCTCAACCCCCTTGCAAGGTGCTTGCCAATATTTTCTATTCTAAACAAATTGCAGTTAAAATTTGCAAAAAAAAACTCTTTTTGGTTTTATTGCCATTCTTAATCATTTATATTTTATTGCTGATGAATATTTTAAAAACGTAATTTGAAGGGGGAAATGTTTTTTCATATCATTTCTAATAGATGTTTCAAATATATATCTATAAACTGAGTAACCGTACAATTTACAAGATCATCATCCTGGGCCTGCCTCACTCGGGTCGCACTCAGCTCTCAGAGCTCCTGGCTTCAAGATTCCATACGAAAAAAATCAACGTGGAAGAATTGATGAAAAAGGCTACTGCAGAAGTTATCGAAAATTACAGGTTGCTACCAAGTTCAATTTTTTATTGTGAAGTCTTTTTCATACATTTTTTCTTTGTTATATCGGTAACAGATGTTTTTTAATTTGCTCCTTGATTTATTGAGACAGTTATTGTCTCAATGAATAAACATACATAGTATAATTTTTAGTAGTCCTTGTCTTCTTGATGGGTGTAGTAAAGAGTAAAACGCTGAAAAGAAACGCATTAAACACATTGGATTGCAACACCATTTGTCCAATTTGGTGGTCGGACCAGACGAAATTAACCATTTTAAGTTTATTCAGAAAAGTTTGTTTGGCTACCTTTCATTCCGGTTAAACGAACTACGTATATTAACTGAATGAGATTTGACTCGGTTCTTGAAGAGTTGGTCCTGATCCCAGAAACTTCCTTCCACTGTAGCTCAATTAGCAAATCATTTCACGTTATAACGTTATACATCAGCATGGTGTCATCAAGTTAATTTCCACCTCTTTTACAAGCAAGTTCATCATTTTACATTAAGATCTAAAGATGAACATTGATGATAAAAGTAGATAGAGGTTTATCGTACAAAGAATGGATGACATCTTTGAAATAATTTTTAATTTTATGTAGCCTTTGTTTTGTCAGAGCTTGATATTAGTTTTATTTGAATTTAATAGAAGATTATGGTTGTGGCTTAAGTTTCCTTTCAAAGTTTAATTAGAAGTTTTATTCATTGCGAATAAAATTTGCAGCTTGGTTTTAGTAGTCTAAATTAATCAATCAATCTTTGTTTAATCCAGAAACCCAGTTTCCCGAGGCAAGACGTTGTTTTCTTTGCCATCAATTTTTTGCGCCAAATTAGACGATCAGTTGTATCCATTTCATTTAAATTAAGCGCTTTCATGTCTTGCTCTTAATTGTTTGCAACCAGGATTTTTTTGGACGGCTTTTGGGACGCATGCCAGGTTCTTCAACATCTGCAAGAGAAGTTATGGCACAGTTTCCACTTCGTTTGACATGACAAAACCACAGCAGACGGTGTTGCCGGCATTCGTCCTTTATATCATCTAAACTAGCACGGCGCAGGATTTCGGTAGATTTGATGTGGTCCTTCAGACTAATTCGTTGCATCCGTCGGAGCATTATCATATAGATTCGTTGAAGTTGTTGTTCCAGTTTGGTTGTCATTGGCCATGTTTCTGCACCATATAACAACACCGGACGTATCACATATTTATAAAGTTTTGATCATAGTGGTAGTGGGATGTCACGCCGCATCAATGTAGAGGCAAGGAGACGCCATTTATTCCAGGCTGCACGTATGCGTGCTCGAACGGCAGCTTCAGCTGTTCCAGTACAATCCAGAACATCCCCTTGATATTGAAACGATGTGCTTTTTCAAGGTCTACAAAAATGTGTGATATCAATAGTTGTTGATGCTTTGCGAGGTACTTCTCCTGCAGATGCCGAAGGATGTGAATTCCATCAATGGTTGATTTTCCCGCTAGGAAACCAAATTGATAATTTCCGATTGTGATGCACGACGTTAATCTTCTCTCAATGATTTTTTCGACAATTTTCAGAGAGTGTTCTAACAGACGTATACTCCGATAGGATGAACAGTTCAATGGATCACTTTAGCCTTTGTGTAGCGGAACTATTACGCTATAGTTTCATTCAGTAGGCATTGAGCAATTTCTCTATACTTCACGGCAAAGTTGTAGTAACGTTTGAATACCTGCAGTAATAAATTCTTTGATAATGTCATTTGTGAGTTCAGAGAGCCCTGCTACCTTTTCATCCTTCATACCTTTCAGAGCTTCTGTAAGCTTCTCTAAAATGATGTTTGGAATCGGACCTTTGATGGGTGGAGCGTCAAATTTGACATCGATAGGATTTGTTTCATTTAACAGACGGTTAAAGTATTCTCTCCACTGTAGCTTGATCTTATCTTGTTCAAGAACCCTCTCATTTTTACCGTTTTTGATACATGAAGCATCAACTAAGTTTTTTTTTTCGTACGCTTTGCTTGTTTTGCTATACGATAGAGAGAATTCATTTGTTCACTTTTGTTTTTAGTGAGCTTCTCTCTGCACTGATCTGTTCAAACTAGTGCGACTTGACGTGTTGCATAGCTGTTCTTTTCACGGAGAATTTTATGGTCATCAACAGACTTTGATTTTTGCCATTGCTTGTATGCAGCTTTCTTTTCAGCTATTGCATTTTGTACACTGTCATTCCACCACCAAGTGTCCCGTTCGTGATGACGTTTTGTACCAGTTTTCCCACAAACTATAGTTGCAGCGTTTATCAAAACTGCAACTATGTACTCCAATCTGTACTGGCTTGCGATTGGTGGTCTAACTGTGTGGCGACAATCTGTTGATATTTTTCTCAATGAATATTGCTTTTCAGCTTCCACGTTTTGATTCTCCGAGGCATTTGTTTAGAGAACGCAGCCCAAAAGTCATTTTTCATCTCTTCTGATTCGCCTGTCTGTAGTACGTACGCAGAAAAAATAGTCATTGTTTACTTTTCTAGGCAATGCTTGTTACACATGAGACGTGAGCTAGTTTTTTTAATATCCAGTACTTCTTAGGCTAGCTGTTCTTTGACAAAAATTCCAACACCATTTTCGGCCGTCTTTTGACTATTCCAGAATATTTTATATTTTTCTTTGTCTGAGTTGATATGACAGACACCATTTGATTTCCATCGGGTCTCCTGAAGGCAGCAGATGTCAATCCTTCTATGTTTGAGCATTTTTGCGATTTTCATGCTGCGGCCAGTCAGTGATCCAACATTGAGCGTTCCAAGTACAAGTACCATAGAGGGGCCATTCTGAATTTTTTTTCAACATCCCTCCGCTATTGCATACTTCAAAGGGATACTTAGCACCACTTGACCACTTAAGGCTTGTTGGGGACTAGAGGCTGTTGTTTTTGTTCGTGATGGCATGGATTCATTTTTGGGAAAAATTTTTACATCCGGACACCCATCTTGACAACAACCACCAGTTATAAGCGGTGGGCCTAACCTTTTGCTCAAAAGCACGCAAGGCAGCGTGGATGCAGTTTTATGTCATGCTCAGGACATAGTCTAAATCAATCAATCAATCAACCAATCCATCTTCGTTTTGCGTCCAGAGACCCGGTTCCCCGAGATAGGACGTAGGACATAGTCTAAATAATAATGTAATTTTTAAAAATTGATCGTTTGTTATTTACCATAACAAATGCATCGTTAATTATTTCTTAACATAATGGCGTTTCACAAATGTACGCAGACTGTCCTTGGTGTCGTTGTGAACATTTTAAAATCGCATATTTTTACATATTGTTTTATTTTTAAGATTTTTTTTTAATCATTTATACAATTTTAGAGATGAAGTAACAAAATCTGTCGTCATGGGTTTGAAGTTCAAAAAAATGGCGAAAGTATTTAAAAAAAGAATGCAAGGTAAAGGTTTTTCTATTGCGAATATTAGTAGAATATTTTTTTTAAAAAAACATTGCTGGTGGTTTGAAAATACTTTTTGAACGTTATAAAATGGTCTATTTTTTCAACAACCATTCATTCATTTTATATATCTTTCGATAATCTGTCAAGTTTTGCTTAGACGATTATATTATGTTGCAAGATCATTCATGAAATTTTTACTCGTTTCCACTTGAATGAAAGATAGGTAGTTACAGTTTCTTGGAACAAAAATGCGGTCTAAATGAAAATATTTATTTCATTAGAAAAGTGACGCTTCAGTTGAACGGGTTGAATATATCGTATATGTATATGCCTAAAAAAACATTTGCAACAATTTGAAAAAATTCAAAGAATGTTTTAAAAAGCAAAAGGTAGTACAAATCTGAGAAGTTGCTGGGAACCTGGAAGAAAGTGACAGAGTGGAACAAACATGGAAAGACTCATGCGTAATGACAAAAATTATGATTATTTCATAAAAAAAACATATAAGTGTTAACTTTTAAAAATACTTTTTCATATGACTTTTTAATTAATTTTTTTATTGACACGATCTGTTATGATGTCGATATTTATTGACGTGCGTCCTAACGTATGGAACGTTTTTAATGTTAGCCGTAGTATTGTTGTACCTGGCGAAAAATTTAAAAAGTTCATAGATTCTCTGAAATCAATTCGAATGTCGTGTTTGTTATGCAAAAAGTATATTAAAAATATAAAAAAAAGTTGTCGAAGCGAAATAGATGAAAAACATCTACCATAACAATTTCCATATCTTTAGCGCTTACCACAAATGTATTTGCGAGGTTTTTATAAAATTAATTGTGTATACGTTCAAATATATCGTACAACATTCTATATAAACAGTATTATAAAAATTTTATAAAACAGGTTATCGATGTCCATACGTTTAATTATATACAATTAAATATATTTTATTCAATAATTTCTTATAGGCATATACATTTTTTAACAATTATATAAAAAACATAAACATTATATAAAAAAATATGCATTGAAATATATTTTATTAAGTCAGTTCTTATAGACGTATTATATATCATACATTTTTTAACAATTTTTATAAAAATATCACGCCTTTCATAAAGATATATAAAGCACTATATACAAAAACACAATGCTGTGGAATATATTAAAAGCAGGCGTCCTATCCGCCCATTTGAAAATTGTATAGCTATATGAACTGGTAAAAAATATAGTGACCTAGTGGATTATTTTTAATTTCTGCGTAAGTTGAGTCCGAAAGCTTTTCGTATGACTCCGATATCTTGCTCACAAAGTTATTAAATTTCTTTTTTATGTTGTTTCATTTTATCGAATTTGTTTCAAGTAAAGTAGTGTTTTTAATGTATTATTGTTTTACTATCACACCAAGCACTTATTTATTTTGATATAAAATAATTTTACTTACAACAATTTTCCTTCCCTACTGGACAGACCAGGAAATGGAACGACAAAAAGTTACTGATGAAAACGTCAATCTGGATAGCCCAAACGAAGAAGCTAACATCACAGATCAAATAAAGGCTTTCTTAAAGCCCGTTCGTCCACATGAAAAAGATGCAGATAAGGACAAAGGTTTCAAAAGTTTTAAGAATTAATTAACTTTTATTAAAAATATTTGAAAACTGTTTTTCTAATTTCTTAATTTTTGCATTCTTTTAAATTTTAATTCAATCATTTTGACCTATTTTAATGCTTTTATATTTCAACAAACTCTCACACGAATATATTTAATTTTTTGAACAAAAATCGGTTAGTCTAGTTTCTATTCTCTTGGGTTTAATGTAAAATAGTTATAACCCGTTCAACGTTTTTGAAAATTTAATCCTTATCTCTGATGAAATTTAAATAAAATGATTTCAAACAAATGAAAATATGCTAGCTGAAAAGATTTCAATTAAATGAAGATGCATTTAATGTAAAGATTCCAACGCCAGTGATTCAGAGCAGGAAAATGTGACAAAAGAATCTTTCGATCAACTCCGTAAACAGTCGACCATGGCGGCAGAAACCATTAACGAAGTTCAAACATTCAATTTAAGCAACTTCAGTACTGATGCCGACAATGAACTCTATTTTGAAAATAAAATATCGCACGAATCATCGGAGGATAGGGTCGATGAAGTTAGTGTCCGTTATTCTATTAAACACAAAACTAAAATCAGTCAAACAAATTTTTTTTTTCAATTACTTTGTTCTTGAAATAGTTTCCTCTTTTATTTAATTTCAGTTTTTCAGTAAATTCAGTGGAGATTACAAACCTACAGTGGACGATGAGCAGAAGTTGTTGGATTCTATCAAAATTAGTGACACGGACCCCTACGTTCTTGAGCTCATAGACAACTACATGCAAGATTATGTTCCCCATGTGCCACCGAAGTTGTTGTTGGATATGTTAGAAAAATCAATGGAGGATATTCAGCGCCAAGTTAATTGCGAGTTGGGAACAAAAGATAGGTTATTGTTTGAACAACTTGTTAATGGTGACGTGATGTTGACGCTCATTTTACGTTGTAACTTTCAAGGAAGCCGTATTTTTTATTTATTACACGTTCAGATACAAATGAAGACAAATTTGTAAATTGGATAATTGTCGTAAAACTAAAACGTTATCGAACATAACTCTGAAGAGTAAATTTAATTTAGTATATTTTTTTAATTGTTGGGGAATGATATACCACAAGAAAACCACCTGATACGAAAATCTTTTAAAAATACTATAGAAAAAATTAATTAACACAACAATAAAAAATATGAATCAATTGATAATTTCTTCATTAGAGATTAAATGATGCTTTCAACTCAATTTTATTTAATCCTCACGCTAACTTGTTTCGACATTAAAAACAATCAGCTCTTGTTATCTGATTCAGATTCTACGGATGGGTCCTAGATACCTTCCCACTTGATGTTTCTTACTGGGTGGCTTTGCTTAGAAGACCCAACATGAAGCCTGATTCTGTCTTCTTCCTGACCGATGTGAGTCCTCGCAAAGAAATTGTCCTCTCCCAGTGGTACGAGAAGGAGCGCCGTCAACTGAATGAAAAGATGTTCACTCGACTGAGAGATCATTTGATGAAAGAAATGAAGGACGAAAGGTTTTTAGTGCACAAAATTGACAAAAATTCACGCGTTTTTGATGAACACATAGTTAGGTGATTAATGCGGTGTTTTGGCAATTAACTGGCAGCATGTTAAGCTAATGAAAGAAGTCGTCGTATACCAATCTATTCTTTGTTTCTTTAAGTTGAAAAGTAAAATTGAAGCCCTGTCGTAATGACAATTTGATTGGAGTTTGATTACTTTCCCCAGTTACACAGTCGGTTTATAATTTTTTTTTTATTTTGCATTTTTTGTTTTATGGCCGACATTTAGTTTTGCTGAAAATATTTTTGATTTTGAGATTATTGTCTGGACAGATCTTGCAACCATTTACGTTGTTTCCAACAGGTAGTATGTGTATATGCGTATATACTGTAATTTATGAAATCTTCTGTAGATTTCATAAATTACTGCATTAATTATGGTATTTTACCAGCATACGTAAAAACATATATAAACATAACTGTCTTTGTTATGTGTTATTTGCACATTCTGTATTTTCAAATTTTTATGTAACATTCTTTTATTAAAGACGAAACATTTTGACGGACCTGTATGAAGACCTGGTAGGGGTGAACGACAACAACGTTAGATATGTTTGTTCGAAATTGTTTGTTTGAAATGTCATTTATTAAATTTTTTAATTTCCAATATTTATTATTGCATAAAAATTAGTTAGTTGTTTTAAAATGATCCGAAATTTTTCACTTTTTTTGTTAAAAATTCAATAATGAAACTCCATTAAATGCCAACCGATTTAAACCGCCTCAAAATTGTTTATTGTTGAATAAATATTTACAGGAACAGGAGGAAGAGAGCTGGCTAGAAGTTGATGAAGTAGCTGAGATAAATAGAACCTTTTCAAATCCTCTCAAACCATCAACGTCGGCTACGAGACACAGTAAAAATAAACTACCGCCCATCATAAAAACATCTCTCCCAAGTCAGCAAAAGTTTTCAGAATCATCCGCTTTGGAATTTAAAAAAAATTTTAGCAAAACCAGTTACGCGAATAACAATAATAAAATGAAACAAAATGGTGCTAATAATAGCAATGACAATGCCAATGCTAACGCTAACAACAACAACAAACTCTGTTATAATTACAATTGCGATTATGAAAGCCATGAAAATTCTCATAGCGCTAATCATTCCAAACGAAGCTCAGACGCGAAAACAGAAAGAATAAATTTTTTGGATAACTGGATTAGCCACAATGAGGATGAAAATGTTAAAGACAATAAAGAAAAAATTGAAAAAAGCGATATAATAAATGAAGAGTTTAATGACGACGACCGTGGAATCAGCATTGTAAATATTAACAGTAATAACAACCTTAACAATAACAGCATTGATTTCCCTGACAATGTTAACAATGTGAATAATAGTCAGTCATTGCAGAATACTGACGATGCATCCTTGAAAAAATCATCAAAACAAGTTGTTTCTACTAAAAAAACTCGAATGCAATCCACTCTCTCAAAAGCCACTTCCTTATCTTTATTATCTTCATCTTCAGCAGTTCTTGTTAATCCTAAAGAGAACAGAATGAGATTTTTCACTAGAAGCACATACGCGCCACCTTCCGATAAAAGAAAACGTTCGTTTTTGGCCAAAAAAATGCGCCGCTCAACGCTAAACAAATTGAGCTTTACATCGTTGGCTAAGAAAATAACACCGCCCAAGTCAACCAGCGAAGATGCCCTCAACAAACGTGCTGCCGAAATAAATGAAAAAATTATAGATGTGCAAAATGTCTTCAAGAGCCTCGGCTTGAATTACACTGATGGATATGACAACTTACTCAGTGGACTTAGTCAGATTGTGGTTTTTGGAGTGCAAACTAGAAAAAGCATTACAGAAGAAATTGCTCAAAGTTGTATTATTGTTTAATTCTAAAAAAATGTTAATTCTTTTAAAATTCTATATTTTATTTGGTTTTTTTTCAATATTGTTTGTAGAAATGCGACGTTTTTGAAGCCAGGTTTTGACTTTTGGATCTGTATTTAAATTTTTGGACTAGTAACTAATTCAATTTTTAGTTAAATAATTTTGTTTAGCATTACTAATTTTACTTTTAACTATGCTACTAATTCAGCATTAAAATACGGAGTTCGTCAGTGGGGTGGAGCGTTAATTAGTAGCAACATACTTTATTTTGAAAGCACACGATTAATTTCAAGAACACATGCTAACTTTGATTCAGATTTGTCCAACATCTAAATTCCGATTTTGATCCAAATACCGTAAATATCAGTTATCAAGATTAGTTACAATCCTAAATGGCTGTGTTGTCTTTTGATTTTAATGAAATTTGGTTTGACTGGTTTTTGAATTATTTGATTCTTTTGACCTGTTAAACTTATTTTTTCTGAGACGAACTCATTTTAATACTTCGAAACATTTTAAAGTCACCTTATTGAATTTTTTTAGAATTACTACTTATAGATTTTATTAAATGAAGCCAACTAGTGTTTAACAAACTTTGCCAGATATTTGACATTGACATATCTGACATATCATTCTTTCTTTGATTTTGTTTATATTTTATTTCATTGAAGGAATCGATAAAAACACAAGAACCGAACATTTTGACATAAATTCGACGTTCGTTCATACATTTTATAAGCGTACATACAATATTCATATATTCATCTTTTATCTATTCATCATTCTTAATATAAAATTTATGCCTCAGTTTTGGTTTTGTTGCTCAAATTTCATTCCTACTATGATTTCGTTTATTTTTTATTTATAATATTTCATTGAAGGAATCGATAAAAACACAAGAGCAGAACTATTGAATGTAATGGACAATGTTAAATGTAAGTTAATTTATTAAAATTACTATTTCATAATGTATTAGTGTGAATGTTATTAAAAAATAAATGTATAGTAGATTAACTCCATTTCATATTAACAAATGATTTTATAATAAATATAATTCAGCGTCTGAATCTAGCAAGGAAAATTCGATTCTCGTTAATATGGACATCGATGAACTTGGTCTGGTTACCTTTCTTTCATTCTTGCCGCTATTAAATATTTGATAAAAATAAATGCAGACGATTGTCTAAAAGTCAGTAAATGCATTTTCGCACCAAAAGCAAATAACTTCTTTGATTGATTTTCAATTTTTTAATATATTTCATTTTCAGAAAAAACACATGCAACATGCATCATTCAGCAGTTGCTCTCATTCCTGGTAGGTGTCCGCCTTATATTTTCAAATGTTTTGTGTCATATTTACAAACTCAGTGATCTTTTTTACTCAAAAAGTTTACTCAAAAAGTTTCTAAATTTCACTAAATTGGTTTATTTAGATTTTTACATCGGTATTTTAAACGTTTTTTTTTATTTTTTATTTATTATAATTTTTTCTTTTCTTTTGAAATTTGTTGTTGGCAAGGGGTTTGCCCGGGCCGATTTCCTTCAAATAAACGAATAAACTTTTACATGGCAAATTTAACAAAAAAGAAGATTTTAACTCACTTGAACTCTTTTCCAGTCCTACATTCCAATTGAGGGACCAGAAAGAACGGAAATGGAAGAAACCATCAACGATACTCTGGCATCATGGCAAAGGCTTCGTGAATTTCTCAGAAGTTGGCCTAAATCGCTTGACGGACGTTGACATAAATATCATTCTTTTTTTATTATTTTATTCTATGAGGCAATGACATTCGTGGCTTTATCTACGAGGCATTTATCAACAATTAAAACCTGTTAGAATATGGCATATGTGTAATCCCTTCTTTCCAAGTTCTTTTTGCATCTTTCTGCATCTTATTTACAATCGTTACCAAATTCTGATGCATTTAGCATGATTTTTCTATAGCTTTCAACTGCTACGTTAAATAAATGAGCTCAATTTAAATTAAATTTAATTGATTAATCAAACTTATTCAGTTTGAATTGAATAGCTGACATCATTAGCAAATGCGACAACTATGACAAATGACTAAATTTTGATGGAAAGGTGGAAGGGATTAAAAATTTTTCAATGTTTTGGCCCAGTAGTGACATAAAAATATAGTGAATATAATTTATGGTGCTGAACATCAACTAAAAAAAAAATCTGCGAAGTAATTTATCTTATACTTAATTCAGTTCTCATCGATTTAAATTATAATTTAATATTCCAGCTAATAATATCAGTTGGGTCCTGTCCTTAAATTTTTGTTTGTTTATGGTTTTGTTTATGTAGCAGCCTAACATTCAAGTTGCTGATGCAATATCACATCTCGTTTTCCGCTTTTAATTCAGATTATGATGTTCCAAATTTGTCGGTCATCATTGGGGAGGCCATCCCAGAAGACAGACAAGACACAAAAGAGGTTCAAGAAACCTTCAAATCAGTTTTCAAACAAGGGTCAGTTTTTTCTAACTAAATTATCATTACACAAATTTTTATCTTCAAAGTGAAATAATTTTTTCGCGAAACTTTCATTAGACTAACTTGACTAACTCAGTGCCGTAAAGAAATAAAGTTATATCAAGGTGAATCCCTCATTTGCACATCCTTGGCTGAGACTTAGATATTTTGGCGTTTTTATACTAAAGTTTTTATTTCTGTAGTTTTCTGCATTAAGTTTTCAACGACAATATTTTATTTTATTAAGTCAATGTTATTAAACATTTAATAATGTTTAGTGGGGCTCTTAATAAACAATTGTAATTTAATTATGGATAATAAAAGATAATAAAAAATGTTTAGTGGGGCTCTTAATAAACAATTGTAATTTAATTATGGATAATAAAAGACAGATAATGAGAATAAAAACAGTTTGCTAACCAACGTTAATGTTTTATTATTCTGAGATAATTGTAATCTATATAGTATATCTTGCCTTAGTTTTTTTTATAATATACTCGTCTAAACCTGAAAAGGGCTAGATTATCTGGTTTTAATTATTTTAAATATTTATAAATCAAACAATTTTAGATTTGACTTGAAGGGACACAGACAGTCTGTGCTGGCTTATTCATTTTTCAAAACATCGAAACTGTTGAAGGCAGGTGGCAAATTGGATGTTGAAAATCAGGTTATCGTTTTATCTATTAATACAACAAATATTTGTGATAGTAAAGAAAATAGTTATAAATTTGGGTTTTGTAATCCAATAATTTTTCTAAAACAGTTTTACAATCGTCTTGTTGTTGTGATCCTATTATTTCACTTTGCCGTTTTGACCCTTGCTATTTGGATCGAGTCAACAAGTTTTCAACCTCACTCATTAAGTAGAATTATTGTGCTGAATTTTTTGGCTGTTAAATGTGTATATATAAATTTATATTTTTACACGGCTTGAATCGAATGGGCTTTGTTAGCTCAATCTATTTGTTATGTTTGTTTATATATAAGTAATATGGTATTATTATTTTAATACTATTATGGTTGTTTGTTTGTCGCTTCAAGTATTTCGAAATCTTCTATTAGGATGTTTAACAATTTTCGGAAAAAGGAGCTTTCAGTTTTTACAAAACTTTGAAAGATGTACAACTTTTTTGATATAATCGACTTGTGAATCGTCAGAATGTTATCTGGTTTGTTGCTTTAATGCCCACGACTCAGCCACATATATCAAAACCGGGGTCACCATAGCATGTACGTTCTTTGTTTAACTTTAGTCCAATGTCATGTCTTTTGAAAACTTTGGTGTACAGTCTTCAAAATACTCCGGCTAGCGCTTTTCTTTTCTTCAATTTCTTCTCTATTCTACCGGCCTTGTTAATATGACTTCCTAAATTGATAAATTCTGATACTGTTTCTGTTTCTTCTCCATTAACTTTCACCTGTGACCATGGTCCGTATGTTCTTTTGATTGGCATTACCTTTGTTTATATATATATAAATATATAAATGTATATATATATATATATATATATATATATATAGTTTATATATAGTTTATATATATATATATAAAATGTGTAAATTGTATGTATATATATATATACCGTTATATATATATAGTTTAAGAGATTTGAGCTATTAAACCTTACCTTGTTGTCGTCATTATATATATATATATATCATTATATATATATATATATACCGTTATATATATATATATATATATATAATGTGTAATTTTTCAGATAAAGTCTAACCTGAGCATGTTTGAAAACGACGATGAAGATAATAAGGATGACGATGCTGACACTGAAGAAGGTCCAAACAATAACGACGAATTAGGTATGCTTTCGATTGATACATTAACATTTTATATTAATTTTAGAACACGTTGAAAAAAGAATATTAAAAAGCAAATTGAAAATTTCAGAAAAAATTCGATTTAGTATTTTAACTCACATGACGGTAGCTGCCGTGGCTGAACGTGCCGGAAAGAATTCAGAAGTTAACAAAATTTACGACATGGTATTTTGAAATACAACTTTTATTGATTCGTATTATACTTATAAGATCACTAGACATATTAATATTGCCAGTGGCGTATCTAGACAACTTTGACTAGGGGACGGGGCCAAAATTTAAAATTTTTACGGGGTACCAAAATTTTAAGGTGGGGGGCAAGATTTTTGGTAGTGCGGCTGATGACTTTTTTTGCTTATCACGTCCATTTTTCTACCCAAAACGTGTCTTTTTCTGACTTTTATTTAAAAACTGGTAAGAACGCAATTCACACCACACTCATGTTTGCACCTCGTCACGACCAGGCCATACCAGGTTTGTCCTTTGATGCCATGAAATATTTCAACAGTTTCGTCAAAGATATAGGGGATTTGGTGACGAAGATGTGGAATGCCAGATCCCTTTTTGACATTCTTGATAAAGTCATCGAAACCATTGAAGGTGAGAGCATAAAATTTATTTAGTTTTATTATTGTACTTGTTTATATGTATCATGGAAAGAACTGTCTAGTAAATGTTACATTTTTGCAGCATTATTTTGAATCTTATTTGTCGAATTTAAAAGTTAAAATTTAATTATAGTTGAAGTCATTTTTTCTCATTTAGCAAAAAGTTTTAAATACTTAATTTGAAGTATTAAATGATTTTATGCGAATTTAGTTTTGACCGTTTTGGAGAAATTTATTAAGGATTTTGTGATGCAAAAAAATTGTTGATAATATTTTTGATAAAAATAGAAAGGTTTTTTTTCCGAGCATATGAGGGCGTCTCCAGAATGAGTTACACAATCGAGGACCAAGCAGAAGATGAAGAAAAAGTGCAAGAGGAAGGAAGCGAAAGTGAAGTATGTTGATCCTCTTTGATCTTCCCTTATTATTGTACGTGTCCTTATTTCTGTTCATCAGTCCTGTTCTCGATGTTTCAAGTCAAAAGATTGAGAGGGCGATATAAAAAAGTTAAGCTTCAAATTTAGTCAAGTTTCATGTTACTCATCGCATGCAACTTACGTATTTGAGATGAATTCCAGTTAAACAGGTATGAGATTTGTTGACAGTAAATAAGGTGCTATAAAATATATCATTGAGTTACACGTGACTTGAAATCATTTAACCAAAAAATTCTTGTGTAAAGCAGGAAAACTTTTTGAGTTTGATGATTTGTTTGTTGTGACATTGTTTGAATGTTGGCCTGAGATTGGAAATTTTGAAAAATACATGGCATTGATTGAAAGACGTTTTTGTATGGGATAGTTAAGTAGATATAACAAAAATAAAAAAGTCATTCAGTGAAATAAATACAAATTTTGTTGAATTTAAAGCTACAACTGCAAATCGTTTGTTACTTTTAGTTTTTCAATCCTTTCTTCAATTTATTAGATTATTAATGTCTCAAACTCTTTTCACCAGAAATCTTGACAGTTTATGTAACGATATTTTTTACAATAAGTGTAAAATCAAATACAAATTATTAGGTACAAACTTTAATGTTTTAAATATGAAACTAATTATTTAAACTATTTTATTTATTATAAATAAAGTTTATTTTGCATGGCAGAATTCAAAGTTTGATTCTATAGTTATCGGACCGAGAGTGCAAAACATCAACATGGGCGACTCCAATTATTTTTGTCCTGTGTCACTGAGCGACCGAAATATATTGTGGCCTTGTAACGGAGACATCAGAGCCGCATACAGAGAAAAGGTTTATTTCTTTTCCAGTGAAGAAGCTCTCGAGAAGTTCCTAGCATCTCCGCAGTCCTACGTGGCCAAGAAAAAACCTCTCAAGGTTTTTTACGAGACCATCTTGTTATAGTAAAATATTTTACTACGAAAAAATATATACCAAGTCAAAAAGTAGTCAAAATAATGATCTTTTTTAACGTTTATAATTAATTTTTTTTACAATAAATTTGTTTGTTGTATGTTTATTTAAACGCTTAAATTTTCAAATTAAAAATAAAAGAATTATGATAACAAATCATCTCAGAGCAAATTTAGGTGAAAAGTCACATACATTAAAAACCGTGGATAAAAATGATAGTTCCTGAATTTGTCAACTCATATTAAACAATCAGATTCCTCCAATTCGTCTGCTCATAGCCGGCCCGGTAGGTTCCGGCAAAACAACACTCGCTCGCCATCTGACGAACAAAATTGGCCTCTGCCACATTCAGTTTCAGGAGTATCTACACGAAATAATCATCAAGAAAACGAAGAAGAAGATAACATTCGGCATTGACTTTGCCGATTCGGAAACCGAAGATTTTGACATGCTCGAGTTTGCCTAACTTTTTTCATTTTTTAAAAATGCTTTTACAACAGCGAGAAGACATTTATTTCTCTTTTATTAATTATTTGATCGCTTATACTTATTTGTTATTGTCTAACTTTGTTAAATCATTTTTTCATGTTTGATTTGTGTTTTTTTTCAAATAAATGTTTGAAAATTTAGCAAAATCAACTGGATTGTACAATCTAAAACTTAAAATTATTAGTTTTTTTTGTAAACATTTCAAACTAAAGTGAAAATGAGCGAAGAAATCGCTTATCAACCGTTGGAAATGTTGACTGGATGAACAACCAGACAGAATTTGATTCTGCAGAGGAGGATTCAACAAAAAATTTCAAGCACGGACTCATCTTCAGGAAAGGAGTGCCTGTCTTGAGTATGGAGGTAAGTGCGTTTCAATAATTTCATTTCTCATTAAAATGTTTTTTATGACAATAATCATGGTGATGACCGTGACAATGAACCTACCGTTATAGTTATTATTAGATTTTGGTTATAGTGACACAAAAAGATTTATTTCTTTATTTCTTTATTTCTAATTTATTTATTTAATTTATTTTTATTTCTTTTTTTATTTAATTTATTTATCTAATTTATTTCTAACGAGTCGTAAACCCTTTAATTTGTTTAATGATTTCAGCAAACAGAATTATCAACTAAAGATGAGCTTATATCAAATTATTTATCTGCCTCTAATCTCAAAGACAAAACTTTGCCAGACGACGTTTTGCTGGAAGTGTTCGACGAATTTTGGAAAGGTTGCATTAATTTCACTTTTATATTATATAAAAATTTAAATTTAATAAATGAAAATTCAAATTTCTGAAATTTAAAAACCACCAACTTGGTAAGAACTACAGAAAATTATTTTTCATATGACGAGTAAGTGTATTCAAATATTCAATATTCCTTGCTTGTTATTTTGTTTAGACGGTTTATCTGCCAGTGGCTCCATTTGTTAACATTTTTTAACAATTGTTAACAGAATCTAGATTCGTTAATTCTAGAATTAACGAATTGAATATTGATCCGGTTTAACGCATTATTGTTACCGTATTTTAAATTGCAATGCATTACAAATGTTATAATGTATTGTATTACAGGCAAGCGTTTCCGAACGACTGGTTTTGTGTTGGAAGGTTTCCCGTCGAACGAGGCGGAAGTCATCCAGATGGGGAGGTTGGGGTTGTACCCGAGTGCCGCGCTCTTCCTCAACGTTGACGCTGATGAAGCCGTGAAAAGGTTATTGCCAGAGAGAATTCGCAAGTGGAAAATTAAGCAGCATAAAAAACAGGAATTCAAAGTTTGCTTGAATACATTTTTCAAACTAATTCCCTTAAGTTAACAGTTTTTAAACTGATTAAATATTTCAAACTAATTCACTCCTACTTTCAGTTCTCGGTGTACTTTCGTTTCTTTATATCAAAGTTACTACATTCTAAATGTTGTACTCATTGAAACACTGCTATCATTAATGTTCTACATTTTCATAATAAAAAACTTTGTATCTTTGCTGTTGTTCTTTCAAAACTTTTTACTTTTGCCTACTAAAATAAAGTTATTGAAATATAAAGTGATTACACTTTGCATAATTTTTCGAAACATTTTGAACACTTACATGTCTTACATGTATTTCTGTATCTGTTATTTTTTGATACTCATACACCTAGAGTCTGGTTTTAAACACGTTCAAACAGCTTTTGTTGAGAGATTTATTAGCAAAACATGTACTCGTATGTTTATAATATTAAATCGAAATATCGAAGAATAAAAACAAAACATTTTAGCGGAAGTTGAGAGAGTACTACGTTAAAGAACGCTCAAAAGCAATGGAGGCAAGGAAGAAACAACTACTGGAGCAGAAGGCTGATTATATGAAGAAATTGCTAGAGATGAGAAAGGTCGGTTTGTTCTGGTTTCAATCAGTTTATGATTGGTTGAAATGTTTATCGGATGATTATCATCAGTCCTATTACAATTCTTTCTTAAATGTTGAAATATATCATCTGCATCAACGATTTTCAGTCTAAAAATACGGTTACACATGTATCTTCGTACGTTTTCTCTAATTTTTTTTTTAGGTTTTCAAACTTTTTTCTTTCATGTTCTTTAACACTTTCATTTAACTGATTTTCTGTTTCATTATTTTCTGTTACTTCCACGGTGATGCAACCTTTTATTTTATTTTTCCTGGAAAACAATTTCTAAAAATGTCGAGCACAATTATTTACAATTCTCATCAATCAATCAATCAATCAATCAATCAATCAATCAATCAATCAATCAATCAATCAATCAATCAATCAATCAATCAATCAATCAATCAATCAATCAATCAATCAATCAATCAATCAATCAATCAATCAATCAACCAATCAATCAGCTAACCAATCAATCAATCATTCATTCATTCAACCAGTTTATAAAGCGCTATTTCCGCGATGTTCAACATGTTCGCGCTAGAATTTTATTAACCGTAAATTTGAGTGGAATGCCTTTAAAATAGACTATAAATGTTTCCCGCAATTGCATTTTGCAATGTTAACACAACGACGTATCATAGACATGGATACGTTTGAATGATTTTCATACGCATGAAACTCTGACACACTTTAGTTGATGGGCCAGCCCAAGGGAGTCCACTTTCAACGCGGAGAAAAAACGGAGACCGTGGACGGCGACCAGCTGCTCGAAGAAATGCAGGAGAACATGAAGGACATTGACGTCAATCAGGTCCTGGAAGACGAATTTTCGGTTAGGACGTGTTTTCTTTTCAATTTATTCTATCTATCTTTTGATGGAATTTAATTTTTTAATAATTTATTGTTGGTTGTTCAATTTCTATAGCTGCTTACTAAAAATAGCTTTAAAATTTGATTGTAATTGTTAAGTAAATATATTCATATTTATTACAGATATAAATGATGTAAAATCTGTAAATTTATTAGTGATCTATTTCGTGAATAATTTTTTAATTTCAAATTGAAGTGTTGGGTGTTAGAATATTGGAAAAAGTTCGCCTTGCAGAGAACTTGAACGGTTCAGAAGAGGAAATAACTTTTCTCCAATCTAGCATTTTTTTTATTAGTTTCTTATGTAGAAATAACTTTTTCCATTGATTTTTTTGATCTTTTAATCTTATTATGACTGCAAGGATCCTGTACAGATTTATGTATTTGAATAGGAAAAAGTATTCAAATGTTTTTTTTTAATACATGTGTACATTTTGATAAAATGAATAAGGTTGGAAACTTATTTAAAAGTCTACATTAATTTTCACTGAATGCCACAAAAAAATTTCCAGGAATTTAACGTAATGGAAGAAGAAGAAGAAGATGATAGTTTGGACTTGAAAGAGTACGAAGAGAACATCAGGCAGAGCATCATCAACTGGTACGAATTCGAGCAGGAAGAGAAAATTAAGATAGTGGTCGGTTGAACATTTTTTATCATATAACTCTATACCTTCTCATATTTTTTTGTCACTTTTTCAAATTGGCTCTTAATTTGGCTTTACAAATCTATATCATGTTACGAATTTTACGCTCAATCGATTTTTAACTTCACAAGTTTTCTAGTTAATTATTTGTGCTTCGTCAACCCTGCTTAATAACATGAAAATGCAGAATCAGTTGAAAAAAATGTTGGTCTCGACTTTTGAACTGGACACAAACAAAAGATTGACAACTGTTACCTATCAGCTGAACAAGAAATTGAAACCGTTTCTAGAAAAGTTTCGCAGTCTTTTTGAACACGTGTCTCCAATTTCACTATCGTTGGCAGAAGATCTTTTGAGGTCAGGCTACAAACACTTGAGTAGATTCGATCGCTGGTGTCCTGTCATGGTTAGATTACTTATATCTGTTACAGTTTACAGTTTACTAAAATTTATTAAGCAATTAAAATTGTAGAGAATAATTCATAGTACTTTTTATGTTTTGTCTTTTTTTCCAACTTCTGGTTTGTTACATAATTTTTGACCATGTATTGGCAAGCATGTAATTTTACCGTCATGTATTTGTACACATTTGAATATTTCATTGAACTCAGCTGGCGGAGGGCTCACACATGCAGCAGGATCCAAGCCTTCCGAGATATCCTGCGGTGCACAGAGCATTTATCTACTTCCTATCGAGTCAGGAAGCGCTAAGGTCATTCGTGAGAGATCCGTTGCATTACCTCTGCTCTATTCCTTCGAAAATGGTGGTCCCTGTTAACGTGGCTGTCATCGGTCCGCCGAGGTCCGGCAAAACCACAAGTACAACATTCAATTGAGTTATTATTAATGAAGGAATCATTTAGTTAATTAATGATTAATTAAACGATTAATGAAGAATGAAATAAGTGATTAATCATCATCATCATAATGGTTTTAACGTCCGTGCTTTCTCACTTGCACGGGTTGGACGGTTTTCAAGGATGCCACTTCTCCACACATCGCGGTCTTGTCCCTTTCTCAACTTTATCTTTTTCATGTCATCTGACACACACTCCTTCCAAGTTTTTCCTCCTCTTTTTCTATCCTTCTCCCCATCAACTTGTCTACATGCTGACACCCAGTCATCCTCCTCTCTCCGTTCCACATTTCCAAACCATCTCAATCTACCCTGTCTCACCCTATCACACACATTAACTATATTTAACCTTTGTCGGAGCTCTTCACTCGTTTTCTTTGTTACGCCACACATATACCTGATCATCATTTTTTCTGCCCTTTCCTTTCTGCTGCATATCTCCCACTTTCATAGCCCATGTCTCACTACCATACACCATCACACGTTGAATATGCGTACTGTATATTTTTTCTTTTTACCTTTAAAGAAGCACTTTTTGCTGTCAGAATCGGAACTAGTTCTTGTAACATAGCAAAAGCACACCGCGCACTAGCTCTTGATGCTTCCTCAGCTCCACCTCCAGATCCTATCATATCTCCCAGATAACAAAACTTCTCCACACATTCCACCTTCCCTTCACAATCTATTTCTCTCTCTTTTCTTATTTTCTTTTGATCCCTCCATCAACATCTTTTACACTTGAAAGCAGCCACTTTCAAACTACCAGCCAGTCCACTGCATCTCTTATGCACCTATTTCTTACAAGCACTACAGATTATTGAGTTTGCTCCAACACCCGTCTTGCACACCGCAAACGGCCACTTTCCAGAATTCTCTACTTGTCCATTCCTTACTTTACAACACATAACTTTTGTTTTATTCATGTTAACCCTTAGCTTTTTTGTTTTCATTGCATCTTTTTAACACTTAATCTTCTCCATCAACTCTTTCTCAGAATCTGCAATCAGACACAAATCATCCGCATAGAGCAGCTCCCATGGCAAGCCAACACGGAAATTCTTTGAAAAAGCCTCTAAAACAATAATAAACAGCAGAGAGCTGAGCACCGAACCCTGATGTGCACCAACTTTCACTTCAAAACTATCACTCTGCCCATCCATCATCTTGACTGCTGTTGTCACGTCCTCGTACATAGCTCTAATAACTGTCACAAGCCATTCCTCAACTCCCAGACTACTTCTTGAACTCTGTTAAGCGCTTTTTCAAGATCTACAAAAGCCATACACTAGTCCTTCTTTATTCAAAATGCATAAATAATAGTAATAATTATTATTATTATTAATATAGCAGTTTTTGAGTGTCAAACAAACCTGTTTCAGAGTCGTCCGGTATGGAGTTGTATCATAAAAGCTAACAGATTTGCTTACTGCTATTCAGATTTTGAATTTTTGCCATTTCGAACTCTTAGGTCTGCGTCACAATATCGGCGACTTGCGTGTTAATAATTTTACCATAGGAGTATTGTTCCGAGGGTGCCTCAGTCGCTTGTATTGGCGCTTCTTTAAATGAGATTGTTATTATTATTAATATTATTGTTATTGTTATTATTATTTTTATTATTATAGTAGTAGAAGTAGTAGTAGAAGTAGTAGTAGTATTAGTAGTATTAGTAGTAGTAGTAGTAGTTGTTGTTGTTGTTTTAGTAGTATGAGAAATCAGGAATAAAAGCAGAAGATTATATTACGATCATGATGAGAAATTATATTATATAAAATATTAATCATCGTGTTATAAATATTATTTCAAAACATTTTGTGAAATAAATGGTGAAAAAATTTTTCTTCGGTCCAATCAGTTGCCTCTCGTCTGGCGAACGATCTCGTGATTGCTCGCATATCAGCCGGGGATGCATTGCGTCAAGTTCTTCAAATGTGGCCAACCTGCTTCCTGTCGAAACAAATATTTTCATCTCTCAACCAGGGAAGCACTGTGCCAGATGCCCTGACCGCTAAATGTCTGAACATGGTGCTCATGGACCCACTCTGTGCCATCAGAGGGTGAAGTTGCCAGATTTTTAAATTCGTGGTTTAAGATGAGGTGATATGATTCAATAGTTGGAATGAAATGAATATATGATTTTTTTGTTAATAAACTTTAAATTGTTGTTTTTAAGTTCTGCTTTAAAAAATTTGTGGAGCTGGTGTTATTTAACGCTGCTTCTACAAAATTGGAGTCTGTAGTCTGAACAAAAAATTAAGCAGTTCTTAGTAAATCGATTTGTATAATTTTGAACGTTTTGATATGATGATCCTGAATTATTCGAGACTACGATCATTTTAACTGTTGGCAAGGGGTTCGCCCAAGCCGTTTCTCTTAAATAAATAAACAAGTTACATAGAAATTCGTTGTGATCAAATTGTTTCGTTAGATCATGTTTCAGAATCAATTAGATTACATTAACGCGTTACTCTGGATGGCTTCATCCAATTACTTACTTACGGAAGGTAAGTAAGTAATTGTAAGTAAGGTTACATCCCATATAAATAATATTATTGTTGATGCAGCTATGCACTGGATGGCTACCCGATGACGATCGACCAGATACAGGCCATTGAAGCCAGGGACATACAGCCTCTACGTATTATTTATTTGAAGATCAGCAAAGAACAGCTCGCACATCACTGGCAGCTTAATCGAGACAACAGACTACAAACGCTGTTAGTCGAAAATATTTTTAAGTAAACTTTTTAAAGCAATTAATTGAATTGAATATTCCAATAAACTCGCCCGAAATTGTCCATGAACTTTCACAAGAACGATACTGCATCCAGTCAATTTCCATTTATTCCAAGCATGACAATGAACAGTACATTGTTTTGTAATGTTGACCAATCTAGTACATTCAATATATTTAAATTGTAAATAAAATTTTGTTGTTGAGATATTTGCATTAACCTTTTTTCTTTCACGTTACGGCGGTTGTTCTGTTGTTTCCATTTTTGCTGTAGACATGAACCTCTTCTGGATGACAACGAATTTCTCGAAAATCGTCTCAAAGAATATCTCCTGTACGAGCCTGCGGTCCGTGGCTGGTACAAGGAAGGGCGCAACATTTTGCACGAGGTCCCTCTCGAGAGATCTAGATGGTCAGTCACTTTTATTATTTCTAGTACAGTGTATAATAAATTGTTTTTTTTAAGTATAAAATGTGCATAAAAACAATTTGATACCGTTTTTTTAAGAGTTCAAAAATTTAGCTTGTTCCGCTTTTTATTTAGTGTCACAAGTATAAATTATAAACGCCGTCAGGAGGTTTGTGATAGAATTTTGAATTGGTATAATAAAACTAAAGTTCTGCTTTTATTCTGAAATGTCAAATTGGTTGCTTGAGTTTATTATAATACCATTTTTCTGATTATTTTTTCAAATCCTAATAGTAGCAAATTTTTACACTAATTTAATGCAAACTAACTCTGTCTAGTTTAACTTTTAAACTTTTTTAAAAGTGATTTCCAATTATATTCGCATGGTAATAAAATTCAAGTTATGATTTATTCAAGTAAATTTGTTTTGTCTTTATATTCTGTTTCTATTCTATTTGCACAATTAAACGAAACGAACGAGATTGAGGGAAGCATGTAACGAAATGACAGGTGGGTGTGGAGCAGGGTAGTCGATGTCATCATGAACGGCATCGACTGCGTGCGTCATCATGCCGAGGGACTCTCCAAAGGTATTCCTTCACTTCTGCAACTACAAACAACATTTGTTTTAAGAAAGTATATATAATTTGTAGATTTGGGCACCTGTGACGAACAAGAATTGTACCTATGGAAATATTTTAAGCGTCCCTACTGTTCAATTTTTATGACAACTGCGTTTTGTGGAATTTTGTTTTTATTATTTAGACGGAGTGGCCAGCATCGTGGGTTTGGGCATAACTCCGCAAGAATTCAGACAAAAACTTGGACCTTGTGAAGAATATTGTCCCGTCAGTTTGATCGATAAGGGCGAGTTGATTGATTGTTCCAGACAGAAAACTATTGAATTTGCTGCTGAATTTAAGGGTAGGCTGTAATGATGAACACATGTTCAATTATTCAATTTAAGACAGTGCACAGTGCTTTTTAAAATTTGATATTTTCGTACTTATAATCTAAATACAAAATGTAAAAGATTTTTACTTCAATTTATTTAAAACATGTTTTTTTAGTTTTAAAAATACATATTCCAAACAGAACTTGAAACTTAGAGCATTGCACATTTAAATTATGTACCGCGAACGTTGAGTTGTGGGTTTGCGTTTACTGCATGTTAATGCTAAATGATATGATGTCCATATTTGTGTTTCACAAATATTCTAAATTCGTGTTATACATTTAATGGTGACATTTTATTACCGTTTTCATGTTTCTGGATTAGTTTTACGTTTGTTATGTATGCGTTATTTTTAATTTAAATTTTAATTAATTTAAATTTGCGATGTCTCTATCTACGAATATTTCAACACTTACAACATTGTTTTGTGTCATCAAACCTCAAGATTTAAATTTTTTAACACTGTTTCAAATTTTGTGATGATCTTCAGATGTGTACTACAGACTGGCTGGAGAAAGCGAATTGGCAACATTTCTGAACAACCATTTGTTGTACGTGAGAGGCCGGCCAGTTCCCCCCAAACAGTGCAGACCCGTGAGGAGGTCGAGAGAGGAGGTTGGTTTGGTGGACAGATTTGCCTAATTTGTCTCTTAATTATTTTTATTATTAATTCATGAATATTCATCTATTTCTAATTTTTAGATGATAAATGATGGAACTAATTTTGTTAAGAGTTAAAAGTACCTCACAGTTTTAAATAAATTTCAATTTGAATAAACATCTATGAGATGAAATTGGGAATATGTATATAGATTGTAAAACTTCGTTATAACGTACTCTTGCAAACTGAAAATTTTGATAAATTGTAACCAAGGCATTTAAATCGAAATCTCAACTAGAATCGATAACAAAGCGCAAAAAAATCGAGCACACACAAGCGTCAAAATATTTGAACAAACAAATTGGTGATACAACTTTTTAACCAAAAAAATGAATAAAGTTATACTAAAAAAATTTGATACAAAATTAATAACATAAAAATTTTAACAAAATTTTATACGGCGAATTCAGCTCAAATAATTTAACTGATAAAATAATCTATTCATCTTTAAATATATTTTTGGTTTTATTTCCTGTTTCTCAGTCTCTATAACACACTAAAACTAACCATTGGGCCATCTCACCACCCATTCATTCAACCAACATGTAACAAATATTAAACAAAAACGTGAATAGGCCCAAGCAATGTTCGGTCCGAAGCAAGGTTTGTTGGGTTTCTGTCCAGTGACTTATCACCAAGGGGATTTCATGTTAGTAGCACTTTTGCATATCACCAGTTCTCACCTTTTGTTTTAATCAAATCATATTTAAACTATGTACTATTATTTACTTGACGGTAGATAATTTAAGATTTGAAAAAATATAAAAACTTCTTCAAGTAAGTTTTTCTTTATTTTCAATTTGGAACATATTTTATTTTAATTTCAAATGACTTATATTGAAATATTTTATTCATAAAACCTTCCCCTACACAGTTACATTTTCATTTGAACTTGTTTTGTTAGAGAGAAAATATTTTAAATAAACGACAAATACTTCTAAATAAGTTGTGCTGCTTAACAATTTTTTTTCTAAGTTTAATTTTAATAAATCTAAACATTCTATTACTGTTTCTTCTATTATCTTACCTGATTCTAAAACTCTTGATTTTCTCATAAGTTTCATAGTCTAAGCATTATCTTTGATTCAATGAATCTACGTAGAATAAAAAACTTTTGCCTTTCCTTGACGATCATACTCTACTCATTTTTGTAACTTCTTTAGTTTTATCTAGGATTGACTATTGTAACTCACTCTACCATGGTCTTCCTGATTCTACACTCTAGCCCTTAAGTAAAGTTTTTAACTCTGCCTCTCGTCTAGTTGCTCGTGCCCCTTTCTTTTTTCCTATATCTCCATATCTGTTCTCTTGCACTTGCTACCTTTAAAATATAGTATAATTTTTTAAATTTGCACATTTATGTATAATTCTCAATTTAAATTATTTCCTAAGTACTTATCAGACATATTAATTGATCTAATTAAACTAATTAAACGCCCCGGTTTACGATCGTCTTCTTGTTTTCACTTCTTCTTATCTCGTGGTAAACACTTTTTCTGCAGTTGCTTTTTTTGGCCCTTTGTTCTGGAACTCTCTCTCTTTCTCCGACTACTTCTCTATCACTTACAAAGTTTAGAGCGGATTTCAAGACCCATCTGTTTGCAAAATTTACTGAGGTGCGCTGTTGAACATCGCGAAAATAGTGTTTTACAAACTAATTGATTGATTGATTGGTTGGTTGGTTAGTTGGTTGGTTGATTGGTTGGTTGGTTGGTTGGCTGGCTGGCTGGTTGGTTGGTTGGTTGGTTGGTTGGTTGGTTGGTTGGTTGGTTGGTTGGTTGGTTGGTTGGTTGATGGATCGATGGATCGATTAATTGATTTGATTGATGGATCGATCGATCGATTGGCTGATTGATTCAGTTTCAATTTTGTTCAATTTATTACTCACACAATCACCCAAACGAATAAACACGACAGGTACCACAGCTTAATAAGAGGGTATCCTGACCACGCCGTTGAATACATGAACACCATTTATTATTTCACCTCAGAAGATAATCTTGAAAAGTTTATGAGGTTATTCATTCTATAAAACTTCAAAATGGAACTGCCTTGAAAGTTTAATGTTCTTTATGTAACTGTTTTCAGAAAGCCGAAAATGTATCACGCCATAAAAAACCCCACAATAATTCCACCAGACCTTGCTCCTCTCAGCGCTACCAGCCTGCCGATTCCTGGATATCTCGAACAGAAAGTAAGTGTAGTTTCATTTTGACCCGTTCCATTTTTTAAGAGTTCGTTTCTGTTTTAATCATATTTGAGTAAGCGATTGATTTCTTGTCTGAATTATCGTGTACTTTCAAAATAATTTTTATTTTGTTTTTAAACGCTGTGTTTACAATTGTAGAAAATAAAAAAATGTTGACATTAAAATTTACCAAGGTCAGCCATGATTTGATAAAAGCCCTTACAGCTTGCGGAAATTTGAAGCCTAAATATCCATTTCTGTCGGCTCAAAAATCGGCCATCATATACGTCGGACTCTATTTGAAAGGTTCGTCATTCATGTTAATTTTCAAATTGAAATATTATATTCCTCTTTCATATTTCATTGTTATACCATGCCTCTCAATTTATTAACAGTTCATCACAACATTATCTATTCAGATGAGTGTATCAATCATAGATATAAAATCTAGTAGTCTCTATCTAAATGGTGTTAACAAAAATTTAAATTATTTAGTCATGTTTTTTTGTCTTTTCTTACAAATTCTAGCTATTTAAAATCAATAATAAGTTAAACCAAAGTAAGCCGCTTCTCTTCTCCAGGTGATATGTTATTTTTTTTATTATTCTTTAAAAATCAGGATCTGACAAACGCAGAAACTGTTACAGCATGCAAGGCAGTAATACAAAATTAAACAAATAAGTAAATAAATAAACAAAAAAACGAAAGAAAGAAAAATGTTTAAACATGAAAAATAAAATAAAATAAATAATAAATAAAGCTCTGCAATCTTTTCTATTCATCCACACTTTTGTTCCACCCCATCCAGCCCACAACGCCCTCTCCTCAGTCTTCACTCGAAGACGATACCATCAGAAGTTGAAGATTTTCGAGGAGCGTTGCGACTTGATTCGATACCTGAGCTTGAACATGGGTCGGAACTTCAAGGAAGGCCACGAAAGGCCCGCGGGGTTCGATGCCAAGTTGAAGGATTTTTTCAGGCTACAGGGTGTCGAAGATGTCAGAAAGTCGAAGAAGCATAAGTGACATATGTAGCGATGGTTTGATGAGTAAATTTAAGTTGGATGTGATTAAGATATTTTTAGCAGAGTCGTGTTTCAAAACAATGATTTGCGACAGAATATTTTCATGTTGTTTTAGATAAGTTGCAGTTTATTCTATTTTGTCATGTTCTACCAAGAACTGTTCTTGATGTTTCTATTTACAACAAAGTGATTTCAATGATTCAAGATTTATTTTTTCTAATTTATCTTATGATAAGTTTTATTTGTTTATGCTAGTATTTACACATTTGTTGCAATTTTCAAGGTTGTTCATCCTATATTTAATATTTTTGAAAAATGTTATATAAATAATTACACGACGAATACGCTGTCGTTTGGTTTTTGTTTTGTTTTCCAATTGTTCATATCATTAATGATAATAATTCGTATGTATGAGCTGGTAGATATTATGTATATTTGATTAATAAGTTAATTAATAAATATAAGAATTACGTTAGAAAGTAATAATAATTCAAGATATAATAAAAAAAATACTTAAATTGAAATTATTTGAAGCACTACCCAGATAGATACAAATCTCAATATATCATCAGACCTTTCAAGAAATTTCCAAACTCACGATGAAGTTGTCAATTGCCTAAAATTCTTCAAGAAACTGAGGTGTAAAGTTATTCATGTGTTTTTTGTAAATAAGACAGAAGCATACTTTAATGTTCTGAAGAGATTCGATATTAAAAATAGGTGGGTACAGAGGTTTGCAGACGTGTTGAAACCTGCTTCTTAATCGAGATATACTGGAAAATAGCCAAGTCTCTTCAAGTCGAGTCCTAAATCGAGCCGAAGGAACAAATCTAACTTAGATACACCGTTGATAGAATATATTACTTAGAATTTTATCACGGTTTGAGTTTGTTGAACGTTCTTGTCGTCGCGTTCATCACGACAAGTGTTGACCTACCTCTTCAAGGATGAAGCTATTGTAAGGAATGCACTGAAAGAATGTGCCAATGACTGTAATAATGGTTATAAAAGTGGTTAAGTGTTCAGTTTAAACAGCAATGAATGACGTTTTTGACTTGTTTTATTATCAACCGGAACAATAGAAAAGGAAGAAGTGAAGTTACATGAAGTGAAATTGAAGTGAAGCAAAGAACATTTAGTCCAAAGAAAATAAATGTATATCATAAATCATAATGTTTTAAAATATCAATAAAACATAAACTTAACAATGAAAGAGTTGTTCGCTTACATATTTCTCTTAGAAAATTTCAAACTAATGTTGTTTAATTTGTTCAATGTTAGGGTTAACTATATGTTAGGTTCGCTTAGTTTAACATTATTAGTTTATATTTTCGGAGAATTAAATTAGGCTACTTCGATCTGCTCGTCATAGTGGTAGTTCAGTCTTTTGAGCTCAGTGATGCATTTGTGAAAACTTGTCCACAATTTTTAGAATATTGTTGAATTAATTTTTTAATTGCCATGCTGTCACACTGTTTAATTACGTGAAAACAAAAATATTTTGCTTTGAAAAAATACAGATTGAAAACATTAACACACATTTCTTTTTTTACAGTGTTACAACATCTACAAAACTGATTAGAACAAAAAAAATGGCATGTCGCGTTTATCATTTCTTAACACCAATTAACGAATGGTTCAACAAACCTACCCCACCACTCATCAAAATGTACCACAAAATTAAACGCTGAAAGTCTATCGAAGAATTAGATGAAAAATATTTGAATTCAAAAAATTATAGCACTCCACATTTTTGGGCCAGACATATTGCCGCTGGATGCAGTTATAATGTACCGATAGTGGAACCTCCTCCAACTTCTCCACCTCCTTTACCTTTCCCACCTTCTCTACCTCCATCATCACATTTACGGGTAAGCTCACATTGCCTATCACAGTGGTTACAATGCAAGTAGAAACAAGCAACCAAACGGACTCGAGCTCAAATCGCTGGACTACCATTAAAAAGAACAGATCGAATGCAGAAGTGGCTCTGGCTTTTTTTTCATCGGGTTTTCGGTTTTAGCTTAAATTTTTTTATATTAATTTTTTGTTTGTTTTTTTTCTCTTCAAATTTTTTTTCTAATGTTTTTTTTTATTGTACCATTCCCTGCGTTTGTCAGGGGTTGTCTTTGAAAAAAATAAAATTAAAAAAGTAACAACTTTAAACACCCAACATTAGATAAAGAAATTTCGTTGTTCACTGAAAATCCATCAGTCCATGAAATACTGCCAGATACTGAATCATCTTTTGTACCATCAGCTAAACAAATTGTCGTAGAAATTCAATCACAAAAACCACTACTTCCTCAATCTAATTATCCTTCTGATCCAAGACTTTATGTAAATATAAATGTGGATAACAGATTGATACGTAAATTATGTGAAATAGGACCATGTCAACCAGGACTCAAAAGACATTTTCTGTTTCCTAGAGATAATTTTGGTCGAAAATTTTAAATGTCAGGGTACAAAAAAAGCTATGGAAAAGGCAACATGAAAAAAGAACGAAACTGGCTCAATTATTCTCCAAAAAATAATAAAATATATTGCCATGCTTGCTGGTTGTTTGCTGATCCTAAATCAGAAAATTATAGTAAAGAATGGTCAGAGCTAAAATCAGGGGTATTTAATTGGAAAAAAGGACCAGAAAAGATTATTAAACATGAAAATTCTAATCAGCATCAAACTGCTGTACGACAGTGTTTACCAGTAAAATTTAGAATATCAAATGACAAAAGTGTGATTTCTGGTTTGGTCAGTCAGGAACGTCAAAATATAGATAAAAATAGAAAAATTTTAAAAAGAATTATAGATGTAACATTGTTTTTATCAAAGTAATGCTTGCCATTCTGAGGACACCGAGAACGAGATGATAAGAATTTTTCAAACACTGGTAAGTTTATGGAATTATTGGTTTTGCTAGCAAAGTATGATTCTACCTTGGTCAATCATTTGAAAAATGAAAAAAAAAATGAGCTGTACTTAAGTCATAATGTACAAAAGAATCTAATTCAATCTCTTGCATCAGAAATATCATCTGTTATTGATGAAGAAGTTAAATCTGCAAAAATTTTTTCTTTAATCATTGATTCAACTATAGATTTATACAGAATCGCTCAGATGACTGTTTCTTTACGCTTTGTTCAAAAAACTGCTCATGTAGTACATGCAGTAATGCCGTAACATTTGCTGAAATAATTCGAAGAAAATTAGAAATATTAGAAATACTCAGTATTTAACTAGGAAAGTTTTACATTCTTCGGGCTCTTGAAAGATGCATGGGAAATTAAATAATATTCTGACGTTTTTTTTGAAATTTGTATCAGACATAAATACAAAGTAAATATTTCCCGCTTTCTTGAATGTTATCAGCATTCAGAGTTGGTTGTTGCGAGTCCAACATAGTACGAGACGGGATGATGTGCTAGAACATAAATATTTAAGCTAACAAACATATTAGTTTTCTATTTTTTCTGTAGTTTAAATTCAATGCAAAATTTTCAGCTCAGTATAAAAATGTTTAATTTCACATATTTGTTGTTTATGGAAAAATTAATCAACAAACACAGTTAATAACATGAATAACAAATTTGTCACAATAACGAAAGACGTTAGTTAAGCCATACGAAAATTAATGACAGCAATGAATAAGTTGTTTTAAACAAACATTTTAATCAATAACACAAAATCGTCAAAAATAGATTTTCTAAATTTAAACAAAATTTGTAAAAGAATTTTTGATGTTTTGCATCAAAACAAAGTCGAATACAGAAATGGCAATTGGAGGTCTGCGTGCTGCTACTGACAATTGCAGGGGTTTAAGTTTTGACCTGCCGGGAATGTAAAAAATCGGAATAACTTCTATTGAACAAAAGAATAATTTATGTAATAAATGAAATTGTCATCGTTTAGTGTTTGCATTCGGAATAAATAAATCCAAACAAGAAAGGATAGTTGTACAATCAAAGACCAGATAAAAAGTTGCGGTATCGTTTTGTTATCATGATTCGTTTTTATTAAATTGGCAATGTTTAATTGCGAAAATATTTCAACACAGTTAGCATCACATATTTTAATAGAAATCGTTTACAAAAAATTGCTTCACCGACTTTTTACTCCATTTACTTTCGTCCTCAACTTCATCAAAGATAGTGGATTGTGAGCTACTACTCCGACAGACAATCAAATTCATCTCGTCCAACAATTCAACGCTGTCCTCTCCAGTGTATTTCATGAACAGACTTCCTTCAAAAGATTTTTGTTGGTTTGGTTCGTTTTTTGTAAATATCTAAAAATGTGTAAAAAAAAGGCTTTAAAAATTATTTTTACAACACAGTAGTACAATAATCTTATGTCGTTTTTTAAAAAAATTTAGTTTTTAGCAATTTTATTGCGAAGAAAAAAATAAAAAATTAAAAAAATAGCACTTGTTGAGACAAAACAGAAAATTTAAACAAGAAATAAAAAAGAAAGACACTTATTGATATCAAATGAAAATGAAATTCAAAAATGAACATACTGTTTTTCTTGCAGAGGATGTAGAAAAAGTTGACAGATAAAATTTTTATTTCTTCACACGGGTTACTGAAGAGATTATAAAGCCTGAACATTTTTGAGATTGTTACAACATTTTTAATTCTTTGCTTTTGAAGTAACTTGGGGGTAATTCAACATTATTTGATCAACATATAATGGTAGAGTGCTTCTTTCGAAAGCAGTAGACGATCGCACAACAATCGCCACAATCGCTGCTGCTACAACTACATTCTCATCATGAAAAGCACTCTGACAAAATTTTTTTCATAAACACGAACCTGTTCCTCAGCGGATCGCCGTTTTCTGATAATCTTTCCGCACCATCTTCTGAGTTTGAAAGAATCTTTGTTTTCAACAAATAATTTTTTAGTAGAACTAATTTGATAAATTTTATTTAATATTGAATTCTCCTAAATCAGTTTGATGAATTCTTTCATGGCATTTTTATATGAGAAATAAATTACATAACGTTGAAATTGAGACAGACAACAATATGGACGAATGTGAATGCGATGATTGCAGCTAGAAAAAATTAACGACATGCAATTCTTGAACCTGAAACGAAAATCAACGCTTAAAAACATTAGTGAGAAGTTGCAAAAGATTTTTGGCTCTTTTTATTAGTCTATTTCATGTGAAAGAAAATTGCCAAAAAAGAAAAAAAGCGGAAATGAGCAACTAAGCAATCGGTGCCAAAAAACAGCGTGGCGGCAATTACATCAGCAAACCGTCAACAATTACAAAGCAATGGACTGCAAATATATTTAAATGTTAGCAAACCATCATTCTGCAGAAGTCCCTGATGATTCTGCTGCTACGACACATGCGACAGAAACTGTACAAGAAGGGGCAGATGGTTTCTTTTGATGCTTTTTTTGCTTTCAACTATAATGTTAATGTTTTCACTCAACATTTCAACATGTTTGTGAATGACATTCTAAAAATAAAATGAAAGCATGTGTGGCGAATGGTACGTTAGCTTAAAATGCGACATTGCTATGACAAATTTTGGACACAACCTTGACTAGCTGAATCTTTAAGAAATCGAGCAGAACTATGACGGCATCCATGTTCATGTCTTTATATTCACTGTCCCTGCAGCCTATGCAATAAGAGATCTTGACCTCGGCTGAGATCAGTAGCTCGCGAAGATTTTTGTTGGGAACTGCAGTCAGCAGCTGGACAATGTGGCTACAATTATGGAAAAGTATTACTTAGGCTTAGAAACTTTATAATTGCACCAAAAATAATAAATGATTAGCATTAGATTTAATACCTAAAGCTATGTGCATTTAAATAGCATTTTCTGAAGTTTTTCACATAGTATTTAAATAATATAAGTGGATCTAATTTACAAAAGTTCACCTGACAATTGTAATTAAATTCAAAAAATATTTAAACAAAGAAGCGTACAGACAGACAGACAAATAAACAGACAGGCAAGCAAGCAACAGAGCAAGCAAACAAACAAATGAAAATATTGACTTGTGAAGTTGGTCTCTCAGATCACTGGACTGGATGGGGCAGACCAAAAGGCCCCTCAACACGCCGACCAGTTTCATGAATTGGGTCTCTTTGTCCTGCGAGGTTCATTTCATTTAATTGAAAATTTTTTCGGAAGTTGAAAAATCAAAATGATTTGGTATTTTTATATTTGAAAAGGCGTTATTTTAATCAGATACTTATAAATTGTGTAAACAGTTTTATATTTCAATAAATTTTCAACCTTTTTTTGTACAATGTTTGCAGTGACACAATTAGAATTATAATGAAACAAATATTTGACTCTTTTATCCAGAATGTTTCATTAGAAACAAAAATGAAGAAGTCTTTTTGTAAGAGGTCAAGTTACGCATTCTTCGTTTCCCCAGCACGTCATGCCAGACATCAAGAGATTCGTACGATGCAATTAGCGTCGAGATAGTGACATGTATATTATGACCATTAAAACCAACAAGCAAACCAATTTTTACTATTATTAAATAAATTCATCATTTTTATATAACTCACAATTACCGTTTTTATGCAAATTACAGCAAATTCGGAGATCTGCTCTGGGTGCTAGATGCTCAAAATTTGTGTTTAATGTAAAAAGGGTTGTATCGTCATCAACGTAAAGCAAACTAAAAGGGGGTATTGTATGTTTTCAAAATGCAACACAAATATTAGACCTTAACGCAAACTCTTTACGAATACCTGATCCAGAGTTCCTTCAATGATGGTCAGATTAAAGAGGATTTTGAGGATTTCAATGCACAAACTTGCCTGCAAAGAATCGAGTGATTTGATGGGGTTGTTGTCCGGCTGCAGTAGGAAGTTCAGGGCCTCAACCAGGTAGGTCAGTCCGTACAAGTCGTCACGCAGTTTCGTTCTGCGGTATGTTGAAGAAAAATGTGATGAACATCTTCTTACAAATCATAACTTTTGTGCTTAATAATTCATTTCTACAGCGTAGTCGCCCTAGTGTAGGCAGTGAAAAATCATTTTAAACAGTGTTAACATCAACTGAATCGATACCTGTTTGCAGGGTTGTAATGGGTCAAGAGGTGCAAGAGTTTCATGTCGTACAACTGTCAGCATGTGATGATGACCGTTAATATATTTATTTTTATTTTAATGGGATAGTTTTAAATTCAAGCTGTCTGAATGTATTGTACGCCCAACTTTGTAATGTGGGGGGTGCATGGTTGTTGATGGCCTGCCAGCCGTGTTTTTACTACAAATATGTGGATTCAGTTTTTCCGTTGTTCATCATGTATACAAACATGGATAAGAATAATAACTATTTTAATGCGAAAAAAACATTTTATAAATTTATGATTCAATTTTGTTCAACTATAAACGATTATTTTATTTTAAATTTGAAAGACAAATTTCGACGTCAAAAATTGTTTTAGTAGTTTTTAAATTATGACTTCATTTATTGAAATACTTTGCATGGAACTGACGTGTCACCTTGACACCATGTGGCAGGAAGGGGTCGTTAATTATTTTCAGCCTGTCAACAACACCGTGCACGCAGTGGCCCACCCTGAAGAACAATGAAAACATTGAAATAGTTTTATGAATATTTTTATGAAAATTACAATTTCATTCATAACATTCGCTACTACTGTTGTTGCTACAACCCTAACCGCTGAATGGCTAATTTTATATCGAAGTTATTGAAGAATAATTGTATGAATACAATATAATAGAATAATGATTAATATAAATTAAATATCGTTATTAATGAATAATAATAGAAATAGTGGAAAATAATTTTACATAATTATTCTAAAATCTGCACTCTTGAAGAGTTATATGGATTTGAAAAACAAACGATTTACAACTATCAAAGTACGAAATCATTACATTATCGCAATTAATTATTTTATTTTATTTTATTTTTTTAGTTAACCTAATAAACTATTTTAATTAATAATTATAATTAATATACATGAAAGAAACCATTTAAATTGAAACTGCAAGTCAAGAAGCGTATAACCAAACGTGTGGCGGGTCTAGTAGGTGGCCCGCATTGTCAGCCGAGTTTGGTGTTATTATTGAAAGTCAGTAAGGCACAGTTTACAGACAGAAAAACACGTTTTCAATTACATAATGGACGAAAAATTGGCGTGATAAACAATAAAAATGATTAAGTTTCAATATTTTTGCACATTTAATGAAATAATTTCTTCAAAATGCTCTAAGCATTCTTTTTTTGAAATGATAAAATGGAAAATGTATATAAAGCCAAAAAAATGATATCTCTACCTAAAACTATAGAGATGATTTATGCTTAATTTTAACCGCTTTTTTAAACGAATTAATAACAAATATTATTCTTAAACAAAAATGAAAACAAGACAAAATTTGGTCATAAAAATTTATAAGTCGATTTCAACGATATAGTCTATTCAACTATCAGTCATTGTCGCCATCGTTGCTCGCCAGCTCTTTCAGAAGTTCTCGGAATAATAACTGGTGGGAGGGTTGTTCTGGTTGTTCTGGGAGCTTCGCATTTGTTTTGCACGGATGCGTTCAGCTTGTGAAGTGTTTGTTTTCATATTTTAAAACGTCAAAAATATTTTGAGTAAGATTGATTGTTTGGTCTACTAACTGCCTTGTTTCCATCTGGAGTGTGAGAAAATGAAGCAGCCTCTTTGTACTGGGGTGGCGACGTCAAGTTAATACGTAGAGAGAAGAATTGTTGTTTATATGTCACGTTTTAAAAAAATGTTATTTATACGCTGAGTAAAAATTAGTTATCTGTAGCTAATTTCTTATATTGATTAGTTTAAAAACTATCCAGCCAGCTTACTACCAAACAATTTTCGATATAAATGTTTCCAAAAAAAACTAAATTTTTCGTAATAACCAAAGAATTATTCTCATTTAATACAAAATTAATCGTTAATTTGAATGATGTACGCAGTTCATTCAAGCAGAAGTAAGTAACAATTATTCACAATACATCAAACAGAGTTGTTGTTTCGTTGCAATCCAAAATTCAACATTGTATTGATATTATTTACATTTCACCATGTGATATAATTCCAGTTTAATTGAGAAAAACTCATTTCAATTTTATTTTTTTAATCTCAACAAATCAGAAATTTAATGAAAGGCTAGAAGAAAGCGGAACGGACCTTGCTAAGAAAGGCTTCAATGCTCTCTCCGAGTGTCACACTGCCCTTCCCAAGCATGTAGACCTTCAGCTTGTCCATGCTCCTAAAAATAATAATAATTTAATTTGTTTTATTAATAAATTCTTACTTTCAAAAACTTTTAATGTAAGATTTAATTAAAGTTATCTTACATAAATCGAATTTATATTTAAAAAACTCATACAAACACATGCATATATACTTATACATACATACATATACGTATATTTGTATATATATATATATATATGTATATATATATATATAAAATAATAATAGTAATATAATATTCATCAATATTTTATATTTATACTCACGTGTATAACAAACATATACACATATATAATTTCCAAATAATTTGTACGAATTCATAATTTAGTAGTAACAGATGATTTTATTTTATATGGAATTGCGCTCTGCCATATTCATTATAAACTCTACTGAATGTCGAATTGATTTTCCCCTATCATATTCAATCACTCCATCCAGTTTTAAATACCACTGAACTCCGCATTCGTTGGGACTTGCTCAGTGAAACACCACAAAACAATTCATGATTCGTGATTGTAGAACTAATGTGGGATGTTATAACGCAAATGCTTCTCGGCCTTCGTTCCAAGTCAGGTACTATATTTCAACTCCCAATCTTCATTCGATGATTCCTCATCATAAGCAGATTGTTTTAAATTTTTTAATTTATTTTTAATAACAAGTATAATATATCAAACATGTTAGATGCGTTGTAGTTTTATACTTAAATTTTTTTATTAGAATATAATTTAAATAAAAAATATTGAGTTTTTCCGGCCATTCCAATGACGCCGTTGACAACTTTTCGTTTCGTTTGGTTCCTGTCAATGATGGTGATGGCGAAGAAGAGAAAGAGGATGATGTGATGATAATGATGATGATGATGATAATAATTATAAATTAATGATGATGATGAGGAGGAGGGTGATAAGGAAGGTGATGGTGAAATTATGATGAAGATATCGATTGCTGATTAGATTATGATTGTGAAAATCATAGCACAACAGTCGGCCTGCCGACATCCTTAATGAAAAAACTTGATGAAAACTTTTGGATATCGCATTGTTCTTAAAGAACTTTCGCAAACAAAAAAATTAATTTTTCCTTTTTTATTTAAAATTAACTGAAACACTAAAAAACTTGTAATAAAAATTTGTTGAAAAATTATTAATAACTCCAGCTGAAAACACAAAACATAGTCGAGTGCTTGGAAATTGCTGAAATTAATATTTCCATTGAAATTTTCACGCTGAATTCGTCATTTTTATTTAATAACAAAGAATAATATAATTTGAAAATTTCTAACAAGACTAAGTTTTCAAAATTAAAACGAAATAAAAATAATCTGTTGTAATTAATTAGTGCTTCCTGGCGCACTCTCAACTAATGTTCGGCGAAGATTTGTCATGTTGGCAAAGCCAGTTGTGTTGTTGTCCACTCGTTATTGCGATAATAAAATTTTACTGCGTAAATCTTCAAACTCGAACGTGTGTGCGTGTGTGCTCCTTCGTGTGAGCTGTAATATGTATTCATCCCATCTTCACATCATTTGTACGCTGATGCGAGAAAATAATTTTAATTGGAGAGAATTATAATTGAAACAATGGAAACACGGAAAAAACAAATTTTGATTTTATATTTTTTTGGAAGTTTATTAACAATAAAATTTCATAGGCACTTTTTTAAACCTGTTTGTTTATTCAAAACATGTGATTACGATACGACACCACCACTATTACAATAAGGCAGAACATTTGGAGTTCGGGTTAAGGCAGGACATTCAAGGCGGATTTTTCAGACTTTGCCATGTTCTGCATACTGGTCGTGGAGAATGATCTGCATGATTAGGGTCTGAAAAATTGGTTAATTATTTTTTTTAACTACATGAATTTAGCATTGGGAATGTTATTTCATTCTTTTTTACTGACAAAGTTCCAAAACTGCAAAAAATTTTGACAAAAATGACAAAGTTATTGACAAAGTTTTTCATTCTGGGTAAAGTTCCTAATAAAAATAAACGGTTTTTTAATTTTACTTTTTCTAGACTTTTAACAACTTTTTTTTCATCATAACAGTTTTAAAAATTGTAATTTAATTTTTTTTCTTGTATATATTTCAAAACTTTATTTTACTAAATTCTTTCAATCTGTCAACACGTTATGAGTTGCTCATTTGAACCACATGTTTCGCGCTTATTAGGACAAAATGTTCAAAATCAAAATTAATTCCGATTTTACAAACATAATTAAGCTTGCATTATCTGATGAAAAAATTAACAAAAAACCGCAAACACAACCGCCAGTTTTAAAACGATGTATACACGAAAGCCTGTTTGACTGGTTTGTTTGTTGATGTCGTGTTAGAGGTGGCGTGGGCTGCATTGGCAAGTGTTTGAATGTGTGTAATGTGTCGGTTCGCGCCATTTCACATTCGCTCTGTGTGTTTGTCATTGATATGTTTGTGTGTGTGTGTTTGTTTATGTGTTTGTGTGTGTGTGTGTGTGTTGTTTGTTTGTTTGTGTGTGTGTTGTTTGTTGTGTGTGTTTGTATGTGTGTCATTGGTAATTCAACAATTCAGAAGAATGTTGAAAGTAAAGTGGGAATAAGAAAGCACATTGTGAGTACCCTGCCCTGCAATTCTTAAGGACCACATCAACGCAACACATCCTGAACGTTTCACAGGTGTTCCCGGCGACTCGATGACACCTCTACAAATTGTAGAACTCTCTTAACACATGTGTGATTAATTTTTATAGATGGTGGCCATACCCAGTCGGTAGAAGTGTCACCTGTCAAGTTACTAATACGTGATTTCCCGGTTCGAATACTTCAAAGACTGTCACAGGATGTGAGTGCATGATACGCTGCTTGCGAGTACGTACGTGTGTGTGATGGATGTAGATGTTACTCCCTTTGTGCAACATTCCCTTCATATGAAAGAGAAATATAAGTATAGAGTGATACATAAGCGGTTCTACAAATAGAAAATAATAACTAAAATATTGGTCGCCAACGGAGGAACAATGGTAATTAATCGTTCATATCGATCGGTTGCATGATGTACATTATTGGAACAATGTAGATGCCGGGAAGAAAAATTAACCTTTTGTTTTGGTCACATAAAAATAAATGTCAAGATAAAACTAAAGTGCATACATACATACATTAATGTTGAAAGGGGACCATATTTTTTACAGTATTGTATGAATACTTCCGAATTGTTGGCATTAATCAGTTTAAAGTTAGTCTTTTAATAAATAACAATAATTAATATATATATATATATATATATATATATATATATATATATATATATATATTTGATGTATAATACATATAATTTGATATTTTTTATATAACAGTCTAAAAAGTATTATATACATTATATGTTCATTATTTGTAAGCATACGGAAATAAATAAATATCTAACATATATTGATATATTATCTATACGGCTATAATTGTAATGTTATAAAAATAATAGTCCCTGCTACTAACTGTTAAGAGGACTGCGCAGAATGTTCAACGTGTTATTCATTCTACATTTCCAAATGATTTTGATGCTGTTTGCCTATCTGACGAGCCTGATACAAGGTCATACCCAACAAACAACCTTCACGAAATTTACGCCGGCCCTCACTTTTTCGGACGTCAAAAATGAAAAGACAGCGGTTTGTTTTGTGGAAGAGATCTCCGTACTCTTAAAAACCGAAGCCAGAGATCGGCTGGATTGTCTGTTCAGATGCATGGTAACATGAAACGTGATGTTTTTTGAATTTGTTCATTATTTTAGTACTAATAAAATTTTGAAAATTTTGAAATTATTAATCTTGAATAATTAATTGTTTAATGAATTTTAAAAACGTAAACTAATCAGAATTAATTTTAGTATTTTTGTTGCCAACGAAATATAAAAACATACGTCATGCATATTAACTCATTCAATCAAACAATATACAGCAAGCATAAGAAACGTACGTTGTGGTACGCGGGTTTCTTTTTGTATTCTGGAGCACGACTAGACGTCTTAGCTATTACACCATCTTGCCAAAGTTTATGTAGCGAGTTAAATGGAAGTTATATTTCTGCTTCTGACAAATCGTCACCAAATCTGTCACAAAATCTATGGTAAACTTTCAAAAACGGGCAAATATTTGCCAATAAAAAATACGAATACGAAAGAAGACAAAATTAGCAGAAAATATAAAAAAATTGCAGAGAGTATTTCAACCTTTGTAATGAAATTGTATTTACGTGAACGTCTTCAAATTAATAATTTTTGTCTCTGGCTCGCCGATAAAAAAAAGTTATTAGTAATTCAGTTACAAACACAACGAATTTTGAAATATTTGAAGTTCAATGCAGTGTCCAAAATTTGTAAAGGTTAAAGGTCGCTTTATCCTACTTCATTAGCGTCAGTGGCATCAACGAAACACACACACACACACGCAACGTACGTGAATACCACTCTTCACGTACAGTGAATACGATAGGCCCTAGGCGGAGATCATTGCACGTTCGAACCAGGCGTTGTATTTGGTTAAAATGCAAGTTGTTTCACTTTAATTTTGTGAATTGTGTGTTACTTAATTATTTATGAATGACTCAAGTTTTTTTCTATAAACAGTTTAAAATCATTTAATGAAAAATATTGTCAAATGAAATTGAAGACACTGACAAAAAGGCAACTGAGAGGGTTCAACCACGAGAATTTCAACGGATTTCATGTCTCCCCGCGTCAGACGTCCCATTGAAGATTTCCGTTGCTTCCATGGATGGCTGCCAAGCATACGTCAATCATGGTTGTGAATGAAAATCTTTATAACATCAAATTTACCATTGAATTTGTGTGGCATTATGATGCAGTTTTTCATTCATACAAAGCAGATTGTCCAAGTGGTTTTGATTACATCGCAGAGTACCACAAGTGTTACAAGCTGGCCAGCCATGCCATGAACTGGTATGATGGAAGATCCTTCTGCAACAACATCTTGTCTTCGCGTCTCATCATGGTTGAGGACGCCGTTGAAAACACGATCGCTTCTGAATACGTTAATCACGTATCTCCCAGTTTGTTTCTTGTGGCAATTTTCAACTCATTCAAGTTACTTATTTGTAGACAAGATTATTGAATTATTAATTAGGCACTTTTTAAAATTTTTCTACTGTGATGAAAATAAAAACATTTTTAAAACTTTCAATGTTAAGATGATCAAATCTGCATGAGTCCACTTAGCTGGCAGTCATTTCACACAAGTGGAATAAAAGCTTTAAATAATGGAACCAATTTTAAATTTTTTTGGTCTCCTTATTTGGGTAATTTTCAAATGTTCATCTAGAATTAATGAATTTAAGTAAATCAATAATAATTATTTGAGAATCTGATAATTTATTTTAATTTTTTTTTGTCGGTCAAAAATATAAAATGAAAAAAATCATATGTGAATTCAATTAGCAATCACGACGATGATATTTCTTTTTATATCAGGCCTGTTTAAAACAATACAATACGATGCGTGGATGACTGGAGAACCTAATTCTTTTTCTGATGGAATCGAATACTGCTTGGTGTCAGTTTTGACTGGACACGGATGGGACGACCAGCCATGTTCCTGGTTGATGTGCGTGCTATGTGAATATGATCTAATTAAATAACCACTAATTCATCAGTTCTTTGAAATTTACTAAATAGCGAAAAATCCTCATCACCCTATTGTTGACTCTCATCTCTGTCTCTTGGCGACATTATTTGTCAAAATTCTGAAGTATAAATCTTAGTTGAAAGTCTTAATTAATTAATTAATTTTAATTAATTGTTTCCATTCTTCTCTGCTTAAATTTTTGTCCATAAGCCTCTTTTATGGCAATATTCATTGTTGCTACGTTGCTAAACCTTCATTTATTTTCTTATTCATTTTTTCTGTTGTCTTCCAACTTTTCTCATTTTGTATACAAAGCCAGTTTTGATGATCGCTTTACAACAAACCTTCCCACGTGTTGTCATCATCCGTCCCATATTTTGTTACTCATGCATCTTCTCTGTCCAGTCCTTTCCTGATGTCTTATTTTCTATATGTTCTCTTCTACGGTTTTCTATTATATCTCTAAACACGCAGTCGCTTATAACTTCAAAAATTTTAAATGTCGCTAATAATTTCAACAATTTAAAAAGTCAAAATTGAGAAAACAGTCGTTTGATGAACTTGATCAAATAATTAATTAAATATCATTTTTTTTATAATTTGTTAGTTTTTTTAAATTTATTGCATAGTTTAAGAGTTTAAAATGCTACAATTTTATCTTTCTTTATATAATTCGTTAGCTCTTTGAAATTTATTGCATAGTTTAAGTTTTTAAAGTGCTTCAATTAATTCAATAAATTTTTTTCAAATCTGAGTAGTAAATAGCCATTTGAATAATTTATTTCTTTCACACAATTTTGTCAATGTAGGAAAAATACACATCAACTATTTTTCATAAATAAATGTATGACTTTTTATCGTTCTTTTCTTTTGAAATAATCTATTGCACATACTGCAAATGTCTGATTGTTCAAAGTGCTTGATATTTTTGTCAACAACAATTTATTTTTAGAAAATAAATAATTGATCCGAAAAAATATTTAGACAAAAAAATTCGAACTAAAGAATCCATATTGATTTAGATGTAATGTGGTTTATGTGGATTGGTTGGAATGTTAAGACAGAAGAGATTGAGTGCGAACACTTCAAACTAAATTTAATGGGTAAATATAATAAAAACCTTTTTATGGACACAAATCGGTCGTAACACACTAGCTTTCGCAAGTCACTATACGGAGAAACATAATTCAATTCAAGCCTAATTCATGCTTTTTATATTTATGCATTCTGTTGTTTATCATTCATTTATTTAAGTCATTAACACAGCAGACAAATTTGTAAACTAAATTATCAAATGTCACTGTTTTACAACAAAAGGGAGCAATGATTTGAACCTCGTCAGCAAAAGCGTGGTATTTAAATTCAAACTTTTCGATGATGTTGAACATATCAGCTGTGCAGAGCAAAAACAACAGAGGTCTTAAAACAGAACTTTGAAAAACTCCAGATGAAACCACCTCGTCATCAGGCAATGTACCGTTGAAGAGAATCCGTCGTTTTTTAACAAGCAAATACGATTCAAACCACGTTGCAACCATTCCAGTAACACGAAAACGACATTTTAACTTTTTAATCAGCAAAACCTCATACCCAATAGCGCCAACAGTGAGACCCTTTGAACATCCAGAGATGCAAATACTTCGGATGCCACGTGAATAAGAGCAGTCTCGGTGGAATGATGTCGTCTGTATTCAGACTGATGAACCGGTAGCAAATCGAACTTAACTAAATGATTCAAAATTTGTTTGGAGACAACGCGTTTAATAACCTTCGATAAAAATAAGAAATTGGAAACTGGGCAATAATTAGTTATATCATCTCTGTCAAGGAATGGTTTTATTTTCAACAACAGAGTTATATAGAGTTGTATAAAGTATAAAGTTAGCGCGGTTATGAAAAGTCATATAATTAAATAGTTTGCACATTTTAGTTTAATTATGATTTTACTCATTTTTATTTATATATGTATTTCAATTTATTTATGTTGGGTGGTTTCCTTAAGGGATACTCCGTGGTGTTGTGGAATGGGGAGGTAGTTCCTACATACCTGTATACATCGTGTTTGTTTGTGTACATATATACGTCGTTGTTTTGTTTTACTTCTTTTTTCCTTTTTCCTCATGAGTTTTAGCTAAGTTAATAAATCATTTTCAAAATTTTGGTTCCCGTCAAAGTTTTCTATATCCGCCACTGATTATAAATATAAAATTTAACCTCCAATTTGAAATATATGTTAATGAACATGTTTAATTTTATGGAATTTGATGCAAATATTATATTCAAATACACATTACCAAACTGTAACTTCATTGTTAAAATAACATGCACCTGCCTAGATAGAGATTGCTAAGAATGGCTCATGATGTTTGCAAACAAATGTCTTTAGCATTTGAATGGTGTTTTGTATAGTATTGTATTAGAGTCTCTATGTTACAGCGTTTTAGATTCACAATTGAAATTTTCATTTTCAATAACGATGTTTTATTTGTAAGTTTCTTTTAAATTTTTTCTTGAAAAATATTTTCTAAAAATTTTCTAAAAATTATTGTTGTAACGATTGTTTTAAATCTTTGAATACAATGGTTTGAACTTTAGCTTAAAAGGTTTTTAGAATGGAATATTCCATTCAATGGTAAACACGTAGTGGAGTCCTAACAAGAGACAATGCTCACGAGTGAGGTTGTCGAGTGCAACTTCTACTGGGCTCCGTACAAATAATAATTAACTTCATGTTTTAAGATACATACCTACATATCTTAGAGATGCAGTTATGGAAACCACCAGCATGGCCATGGTTTTGAATAACGTTATTTTGTTGGGTCTCGACTAATGCTGGCATTACGAAAGATAACTAATAACATTTTAAAATTAATACTTTAAATTCTTGCTATAACAACTTACATACAAGACATAGTTGGCTAGAATTGAAAAACAAAACACACATTTTTTTGAAAAACAGAAAATTAATTTCCTAACATTTTGAAAGTAACTACAACATGTTCATTAAACAAACGATGCTTATTGAAAAAAACTTCCTCATTATCTTCTGCCTTTCGTGTTTGATATTTTTCTCACACATCAATCTCGTGCACCTGAGCCAACAACAGGAGAGCTCGTTCATCAGATTCACAACGTCGTACAGCTTCTTGAAGGCCAAGGATCTGGCAAGTCCTGTCAGCTTCGATGATCGGATGTCCATCATTTCAAAGTTTCAAGCCAGGAGTCCTGGAGAATGTGTGGCTAAATGCCTGGTTAAGAGTTTATGTGTTGATTTTTTTTTAGTGAATTTACGCACAATTTTTAACATTTCTTTCAGGAGGATAATTTTTAGCTGGATTTATAGTTGTAGATTTTTGCCGGGCGACATTCGAATTCCGCACCACGCGGTCCCGAACCGCGTCCGCATACGAATATCCACCCGAGCCTTCGCTTCGGCGGAGTCTTTCCTGGCCGGGATCCGCCACTCTACAATAGACCCTCTCAGGGTCTGAAAACACGGGCCGGGCGGAAGTTTGTTCGCGCCCTGCTTGTTGACTAGAGACGCCGACCTCGTCAACTATCAGCAAGTCTTTTTCAACATCCATTATTTTAGGTAGAATAATTAAGCCGAGCCAAACTTCAAGTGTACACTTCTTTTATTCAATAAAAGAAATAAAATAACAAACAAAATAATACAAATCAAACCTCTGTCTTTATTAAAAAAAACGATAAATCCAAAATTAATCTATTAATAATACAACTACCAAGCAAGAGACAAAACCTAAAATAAAATAAAAAACGACCCCCCCCTCCTCTATATCTCAACTCGCGGCCTTTTATATGTTTTTACCGCCCTATCTACATAACGCTTTCTATATCATAGAAAATTCTATACTCCTATCTATACTCTTTTCCTATACTCAGAAAAGCGATACAGCACAGCAGCGTCGCATATATAGCATATCAAATAACAAAATATACATGCATAGAATGTCTAGTAAAATATATAGATATATATATATAGGCGGCACGCCTCAAAGACGCAATCATTATCATCACAATCGTCACAATTTCACAAAATATACAGGCGGCATATTTCAATCGCGCAATCATTATCATCACAATACAGGCGGCATATTTCAATTGCTCAGTCATTATCATCACAATCGTCACAACTTCACATAGTTATAAAGTGTTAATTATATAAAATAGATTTTTATTAATTGTTTTAATTATTTCCATTTTCTTATGGTTAACTAGGGTGGCACACTTCTGATTTTTTACATCGTATATCAATATGAGATTTTCAGCAATTTCATTTTCCAATTTTATTTTAAAAACAATTTTGTTATGATAAAAAAGTGTAAACATACTGACAGGTTAAGGTCTAAAAAATTTGAATACTTTGAAAATATTGTCTTGTTGAAAAAAATATAAAAATCTGGATGTGAATTTTTAAAATAAAAAAGCAGTTCGATGAATTTCAGGCAAAGACAAATGACGAATTGAGAGGTGTGAACTTCGTAAAGTCCGACGAGTCATGCACATGTGTTCCCAAAGCAACGATCCGCTACAATGTCACTTCTTTTAATGTCAACGATGGTTGTAGAGGCTATGTTTATCATGGTTGGAGTAAATTTCTTAGCTGAAAAGTTGTTTGCTCTGTTGCAAAAATGTTTTTCATAATTTTGATTGTATTTTTTTATAAAAGCAGACAAATTTTATCATCCTATACCGGACCAAATTTAAAGCATTTCCAAATCTTGCCAAAATTTTTATGTTCGGTCAGTCAATGTTCAGAACAACGCAAGAGAGTTTTGGAGCTGCTGATTCTTCCATATAAATTTATTTTTGTAAATTTGAATTTTTTCATTCTAATAAAATTATAATTTAGCAGACTTTATATAAAAATAAAGACCGAAAGTAATTGATTCAAAAGTTGTCTGAACAGATTGTCCATCATCCAATTAAAATATCTTGTATTATATTGTAATGCAACAAAACGCTTCAACAAGTTATGTTTTTTTTTTATTTTTCACTGTCTCTACATCATAAAAGACATTAAAAGATTAGTAGATCAGACGTTTTTTAAACAACAAATTACCGAAAAATTCAACTCATAACAAATTTTCAAAATTGTTAATCGCCTGAGAACTTAAAATCCATCAAACCATTCAAAGGTGGTGCCACGAAATTCTACACAAGCGAAATTCACACCTACTTCAACGCCACCAAAACTCCATTCTTCTGGTCACCTTACCCAGGTCCCAATTTGATGCTTCTGTAAAAATTTTAATTAAAAAATTTAAATGAAAACATGTGCAAAGCTAATGAATCAAATTTGTTTTTATTCATTACACTGTTAATAATTCAATAAGGTCAAAAAAATTTAGTTTATCAAATACGAAACCATTCGACCATATAAAAATAACAAAAAAATCACAGGGACCTACAGGCTGATGCAAAATTCGAGCGCTTGGCTTGCGGGCTCCGGGTTCACCAAACTGTGCTGATGATAAAAGAGAATATTGCGTGCAGAGCGTTCCTTCTGGTTCGTGGTTGGGATGGGATGATTTGCTCTGCACAACTACCATGCCAGTTCTCTGTGAACTCGACATGAAAGCCTAACTTACCCTGACTAACTCTAAACCAACACTGTAGATTCAAATATTGTTGTGGTGATATAAATATACAGTCAGTGGTGTCTCAGTGGGATAATATATTGTGGGTATATTTTTTCAAGTCAAGACAATCAATAAACAATTTTGTATAATTTTAAATAATTTTAATTTTTGTATTAAAAACGAATATAATAAAACTTTCGCATCAACATTTGTTCATAAATTAATTTACATTTGACAAATTTTTCCACAAATCTAACTGATTCTTAAAACAGAAAATATTTCTTCGTGAAAATGTCTCAAATAAACCGATACAAATAAAAATTACAAAAATTTAAAAAAGCCAACGAACAGTAAATATTATATATAATCTCTCATTGGCAATTAAATTCTCAAAATAATGTTTTGTACGTCAAAGTCATGGGCATTTATATACTATATAGAAGTCTATGGTCGAAGTTTTTACTGTACGTTTTGAATACTGACCTGAATCGGTTTGCACACAGTACAGGTGCATGTCACACTATTGGCAGTCCCACCTGGTGTTCCACTGGTTTGCTCCTTCCACTGAATTCATCATCTTTAGTAGTATCTTTCTTATTGTACGCTCTACTATGTGCAAGAAAAACAATAACGTCAGGCATCCACAATCATTTGCACGTTAATATGCAAGTCTCAATCTAAATTATCTCCTAAGTATTTATCGAATATATTAATGTTTGGAATATATGCCACAGTTTGTGATCGTCTATTTGTTATCACTTCTTAATCAGTCAATCAATCAATCAGTCAGTCAGTCAGTCAGTCAGTCAGTCAGTCAGTCAGTCAGTCAGTCAGTCAGTCAGTCAGTCAGTCAGTCAGTCAGTCAGTCAGTCAGTCAGTCAGTCAGTCAGTCAGTCAGTCAGTCAGTCAGTCAGTCAGTCAGTCAGTCAGTCAGTCAGTCAGTCAGTCAGTCAGTCAGTCAGCCAGCCAGCCAGCCAGCCAGCCAGCCAGCCAGCCAGCCAGCCAGTCAGTCAGTCAGTCAGTCAGTCAGTCAGTCAGCCAGCCGTTTGTTGTCGGATCTAACAAATTGTGAAGATTAAGTTCTATACATGTTTACATTATAAATGTATATATAATATATATATTATCCATCCGTATAAATAGTTTTGAGAAGCCACGCCATGGATATTATATTTTGCAAAATTTAACAATTGAATGCACCGAGCACCTGCTTTTATTTATAAACTAAAAGTTAAGTTAGATTAAGACTTTGCTCTATTGCTATTCGTTTAATTAATATTTTAATATATGAAATATATAGCGTGTGGAGAGTAATTGTGCAAATTAACAATTCGTAAGATTAATAAATGAATTATTTATCGGACATCTTAGATGTTGCAACTAGATTACAAGATGCGATAAACAGCGGAAACGAAAAAGATGCCGGAATCTTCGCTGAAGCTCTTGCTCGGACAAAGGCGGACGTCAACATCAGGGATGTGACAGGTCTTGAATCAGAATTGAGGTGCTTATTAATTTTATCTTACTATATTGATCAACTTCAATTAGTTTGACTGGTCATTTCGTCCAATATTGAATGTGGTGTAGAAAAATCACTATTTTAAAATATTAATATTGATTACTGCATGTCATTTACGATTTACATTATAATTACTTACACATTTACGATTTACTTAAACTCACGTAACATTACTAATACTCTCTCTTGCTAATTATTATTGTAGTTATCATTATATTGTTTAATAAATAAATTAATTATATATAATTCAAAATATAATTATAGCCACATACTTATACTCAACTAATTACATACTTACTACTGTAACTGTAGCTACCTACACTTTATACTGCATAAACTTCTTTTAAACTTAAAAAGCTGAAACAGAAACTTTTTTTGCAATTTTCAAATCATAGATTAAATGTGACACTGGAAAACAGTGATCATCACCTTAAATTGGTCTTCACTGAACTTCCACAAGTTTCTGTCAGGGCACTGAAACTGAAGGTACCTTTTTTTTTATTTAGCAATTTATTTAATGACACTTTTTAGCCATTTTTATAAATTTCACTAGATAAGACAGACATATCAATTTGAACCGGCGAATCAAAAGTGGGTGATAAATGGAAAATTTGCTTGTGAAACTGATAGACTGGTAGATTTTGTAAATGAGACTCAACAAAATGATGGAATTCTTGAATGTCATGTTTACATCATGCATACTGGCAGAATGAAGGCTTTCTGATTCCAATTCTTACATTTTAATTTCATTCTAAATTTGGTTTTTCTTGTAATGTTTTGGTGTTAATATTTTTTTAAGGTTATGTTTGTTTGTTTATAAAATTCGAGTTTTATTTGTAAATATTTTCTAAAGCCACCCCTCTATTATCATGAAAGATGCCTTTAAAATGTTTTCTGTTATTATTCTTCTACTGTTTCTGACTTTATTTTTTGATAAATACAAACTTAGAAACAGATGAATATAATATTTATTGAGAATATTGAATGAAATACCGCCACCAAATTTAAATTGTTTTTTATTTGTATTATTAAAACTTAATATTAATTACAATTCATGACTGTAATGGTGCCAAGTGGCAGTGAACATTATTCGTAATAAATAAGTAAATAAATAAATTAACATTTATAATAAATTTAATAAAATAGCAACACAAAATTTAACAAGATATTAAATGTTCAAAATGAAACACCAAAGCATCCCAAATTTTAAAATATGACCTACTATTAACGAAAGTTAATTTTTTTTATTAAGTAATGTAACGATTGTGTATTATCAAAGTTTCTTTAGCCCCAGAGTTCCAAATTAAAAAGTAATCCAATCAAATTGTAACATTACATTTCACAAACTAAAACTCATTTCAATAATTCAGTTTGGTGGTCCAATAAATTGAACCAAACAATTTTTATAAATTGAATCGATCAAATCCCTAACTCCACCAGATAGTCAGCCAACCCACTCAAGCAACCACCAGAGCCAATCGGTTAGCCCAGTAAGCAATCCTCTTCTGTCACATTCATCCCTCCCACCTTCTCTCACCCCACAAATCTTCTTCACTTCCTCCTCGCAACTTTCCCCTCCCCAGCATTTCAGTTTCCTCCTCTCGTCATCACTCAACCACCAGGCTATTGCGGGTTTTCCGATCTCGGAGTGCCCATGAAACTCGTCTCCCTGACGATGAATCTGTCATCCACCACTTCATCGTGGTCCGTTAGGTAGCACCAATCAGGGATGTGCTTGTTCGAGGACAGGTACTGCTCCTGAGTCAGTGACCGAACCCCAAGGACAATTTCTAGTGTACCAAACAAGGCGCCTGCTTGCATTAAAAAATTCTCCATTAAGTTTAATCAGATTTTGATAATTTTCGATTTAGCAATGCTAGCAAGCGATTTAATCAATGGCCGTAAATATACTGTTGGAAACGCCATGCTAACACCTAAAATCTTTACATATTTATCAACGCCACCACTTACCCCCAAGCCAGCCAGTGCAGTTTTCCTTGCACGGGGCAGTGTGCATCTTAAAGACGGACTCCTTCCCAAACTTCTCCTTGTATCTTGCTTCTTGCACTGTAGCCTTCAACTCATTCATCACTCGAGCTTTGAAGCCTTTTGTTCGCGTTTTGTTTGGTTAATTGTTGTATGTGTGCATCTTAGAGTCTATGTGTGCATCTTAGAGTCTATGTGTGCATCTTAAGAGTCTATGTGTGTACGTATGTATGCATGTGTGTGTGTGTGTGTGTGTGTGTGTGTGTTTTCGTGTTTTCTTCATTCAATCAATCAACCAACCAGGCAGCATTGTAGTTCCGCCCATAAGAACGATGTTTTCCATGAGTTCACGTCGCGTGTCTATAGGGCACTAGTGATGATTATGATGAAGATGATCATGATGATGGTTATGATGAAGAAAAAGATGATGATAGATATGACGAGGATGAAGATGCCGATAAAGGTGATAGAGATAGCAGTCATGGTGAAAGAAAAACCTTCGCCAAACAGCCTCGACACATATATTTTACATTATTTCACTCAAAAAAAACAACAATTTAAGAAACTAGACCGCTACTATTACTTTTTTTATCCCTAACTCAGCAGTAGGTACGCGTCTGAGGACATTAAATAGCATGGAACTACACACAACTAAAAACACTTTTACGAAGAATATTACGACAACAGATATTACATTACAACAACGATAACAACTGATACAACAAGAGATACAACATGATGAAACATGACTGACACCACCTTCAGTATGGAGTTGATGATGAGTGTAACGAGGGAAATGTCCCCATCGTCTCGATCAAACAACAACTCACATGTCTCTTCTCTACGTGGCGTTTCAATTCATTTTAGGAATTTTTACTTCATTTTAATTCATTTTAATTCATTGTTATTCACCAACGTTTTATTGTTTAATTGAATGTAATTATTATCCATAACATTCGTTCGCTTAACTATAAATACGTTTTGCTTGCTATAAAGTTAGTTCACCTACCTGTACCTTATTTGTAACATTTATTTGATCATTATCAATCTATCTATTTAATTATCTGTCTAATTTATTCATTCATTCATTCGTTTATAAAATTTATTAATTTATTTAATATAATGAATAAAATTATAAACAAACAATAAACTCAGTGAATGGATGATAACTTAATATACTAGAATAAACTATCCAAAATTCAATGATTATTATTATTATAACAACTATTGAATATTATTATTATAATAAGCTGAAGCTGATGAATGGAATAAAAAAAGTCCGACCCAGAACTGATGGAGACTATAAACGAGGATTGATTGATTGGTTGATTGATTGGTTTATTGATTGATTGAATATTATTTATATTATTATTTTACCCCACCTACCTAATCTTGCCAGGAATCTTAAGAATCAACTTGCCATTGATTGGGTAGTCGACAGGCAGCGGAGGTTCCTGTGTGGTTTTGTGTTACGTTGTGTAGTGTACACGTGTGAGTTTATGTTTCAGTGTGTGTGTGTGTGTGTGTGTGTGTGTGTGTGTGTGTGTGTGTGTGTGTGTGTGTGTGTGTGTGTGTGTGTGTGTGTGTGTGGGATTAAGTTTGTAGTTGTGAGAAATGTGATACAAAAGAAGAACTACCAACAGGTCTCTGGATATCCAAATCCAACTTAGCAGCTCTGATTGTTTGGGCTCTGTCGAACCTGGTCACTATGCAAGTCTTAACTGCGTAGCGTACATGTGCAGTGCATGCGTATTGTATATACTTTTCATCGATAATAATTAATTAATTATGTTAATTATTTATAATAACGATGTTAATCAGTTAACTACTCTTGATACAGTTTTTATTTCAATAGCTTTTGGAATAATCATATTTAAATGAGTTGGTCATTTTCAACTACTTTTCATTAATCGTTATTTTCATTTTCGTTTATTTATTCAGAGTGATCAATATATTGGATCATAATCAAGATACTGAATAACCTTTAATATTTTCCAACAGCTTTTCATCCAACTGATCTGTGATGGATGAATGAATGAATGAACGAATGAACGAACGAACGAATGAATGAATGAATGAACGAATAAATGAAAGAATGAACAAATGAATGAACGAGTAGAACTATGTAAACGAATAAAATAATAACATTTTCATATTTATTACATCTAGTATTACACATGTTAATTAAAATGAAATGAAAAATGTTTTTATATAACATATTTATTATCTATATTCTTCTTCATTAAGTGAAGATATCAATTACATCCATCTATATATATATATATATATATATATATATATATATATATATATATATATATTATATTATATTATTCATCTAGACTGCAAGATGGGATAATGGTTAAGACACCTGCTCCAGCTTCTATAGTGACGGGGATCGATCGCAAAGAGATCCCAACTATCATGTGTCACGTGTGTGTTGTGTCGTGTGTGTGTGTTGTATGGCGGGTGGATATATTGGTCTCAATTGGTCAATATATGAACACTTTTGTCTAACTACTCAGTTTTTAATATTTAATGATAAAAATAAAAATAAACATTTATAGTACAACTATAATTAAATAACTAATTAATTAATTACTTAATTAATCAATCAATAAACAAATAATTGAATGAATTAATTGAATTAATTAATCAAATTAAAACGAATGAACGAGCAAATGAGGGAAGGAACGAAGGATGGAATTAATTAATTAATAAAAGAATGAACAGGAGAATGATTGAATGAATGAACAAACAAATGAAAATGAATAAAGACCGTGAACAGATGATAGTGGCAATTCCTCCCTTGACTCTGTGCTGACAGTCGCTTCTTCCATCAACTGGGCCTTCAAGTATCTGTTTGTATTCATGCATGTATGCGTGTGTGTACAACTTGTTCAATGTGTCTAATAAGCATATGGAGATAAGCACAAACGAGAATATATGCACACATACCTGCAAGCAAGCATAGGCTTATATAACGACACACACACAAAAGCACACATATAGAAACATATACAAAAGCAAATACAAACACACACGCATACAAGCATACAACGCAAACGCATACAAACGTACATACACAAACACAATCACACGCCCATTAACATATTAAAACACATACAAACACACACACACGCATAAGCACATACACACAAACACACATAAACACATACTGGTGTATAACTTTCCCACCGAGAGGAACCAGCTCACAAGCCTGGAAGATCGGGAAAGCATGGTACACCTGATGTGATGAGGGATGATGATGATGATGTGATGGTAATGATGGTGATGACGGCGGTGATGATTACGATAACGAGAATGATGATAATGATGGCTATCGCATTTAGTTTTCCAGTTTTTGCCATAGAGACCATAGAAGTTAGTTCATGACCTCATGGAAAAATAGCACAAAATAACAATTCCATCAAACTCAATTAAATCAACCAATCATTGAGTCCCACCTTCAACCAGATGTCAAATCGATTGATAATTTCAACAATTAGCCAACTTATCAAGCAAACCACAAACAGGCTAATCAATAATAAAACTTATCAATCAATTAATTAATCAAGCAACCAACCATTCAATGAATTATTAAGTAAATAAATAAAAGAATAAATAAATCAATCAATCAACCAACCAACCAGCCAGTCAGCCAGCCTACTAATTAACCAACCAACCAGCCAGTCAGCCAGCCAGCCTACCAATTAACCAACCAAACAACCACCAAACCTTCCAGCCTTACCAACCAGCCAACCATCCAACCAACCAGCCTACCAACCAACCAGCCTACCAATCAGCCAACCAACCAACCAACCATCCATCCACCAACCAACCAGCCAATCAGCCTACCAACCAGCCAACCATCCAACCAGCCAATCAACCAATCAACCAACCAACCGGCAGAACAAGTGTCTCTCGGTAGCCACAATCCACAACGAGGGCGACCTTGACGCCGAGGGTCAGCAGTGAGAGGATGTGAGCGCTGCCGAAATATATCGATGGTACCTAGGTGGTGTTGTTGTTGTTGCATTGAGACTTGCATTTCAATTCATTCATTTATTTATTTAGAAGCATTAACTCGGCTAATTAAAGTAATAGATTTGTTTGTTTAACAACAATAACAACAACTATGTTATAAGGAGTTACAATCACGTTGTTATTTTGTTTTTTTGTTGTTGACAGTGCCGGAGTCATCATCAAAAATATGAAAAATGGAAAAACGTCTCATCTGTACTCCGTTGTCACTAATTGCAATCATTTAGTTTTTACGGTTTTTGCCAAGAGACCATAGAAGTTAGTTCATAACCCCAAAAATGATCAATCAATCAATCAATCAATCAACCAATCAATCAATCAATCAATCAATCAATCCATCAATCAATCAATCAAACAAGCAACCAACCAACCAACTTTTCAACACACTACACCTAACTACAACCAGTCAACCAGTCATCGAACCAAGCAGCCGGCTGACCAACTAGCCTCATAATGTTCAAAAAAAACTTTAGCAATGATGTTTCTAAATTTGGAGGTAGTGAAGATCGATTCAACAATGACCACTTTCCTATCTTTGGTGTTCACTAATAATTCTCTATGGGAGTGCAAAACGTTTTTAATAATTTAAACTAATTTAAAAATCATCAACTGATTAAGTATTATTTTTGAAAATCTGATTGAATTATGTTAGTTTATTTATTTGTCTATAATATCAGTCATATTATGCTTATGATATCAAATGTTAATTTAATTTGTTTAAATGATAATATAAAATTATTCATTTATTTCAATTAATTTTCAAGTGAGAGTAGAATTAACAATGAACACTAGAAAAATCAAATTTGTATTTTCAATGCTATATATATATATATATATATACATACACATTTTTTAAATAGATACAATTTTACACAAAATACAGCACGTACGCATAAACACATACACACACACACACACACACACACACACACACGCAATTCATTTACTATGCTTATTTGTTTATTTTTGAATCACATACAAGTGATTCAGGGTTGCAAAAAAATTGCTATTTCATTTCATTTTGCCCCACCTGAAATAAAGAATGTACAAAAATTCCACCAAACCATCAAAGAGTTCTTCGTCTGATAAATTCTTGTCATGAATGTAGAAGATCTAAACATTCATTGATTGTTTACTAGTTTTTAAAAATTAATAATGATGTTTAGCTTTTTATAGAGACAAAAATTGAAATAATTATTAAATAAACTGTTGTAACATTATGAAAGTCAGACTGAATTGTTAATTGTAAATCTCAAAAAATTAACTGAATAAATTATTCAAATTATTATTAATTATCTCTTAATTAGTTCCCAGAACTATCAACATCAACAAAAACACAGAGCATGATAACATGCTAGAATCCATATTTCCTGCACATTGCATGTGATAAATAGAGTTATCTTTGGATTTGAACCTGACCACCACAACAATATGACCAGACACTTTAACCGTTACACTATCTAAATAATAATGCCCATACCATACCTGACCAGACTTCCTTATGAAGTGACTAGGGATGATGCAGCGGGGGGCATTCTCTCCAGCGAACCCACACCTAGATGAGCAATTTATTTAAATTTAACTTTACATTATAAATGTTATTTTATTCAAAATTAATCAGAATGTTGTTTGTTTGTTTGTTTGTTTATAAATTTCAATCAGTTTTAAAAAAATTACAAAGGTAACCTAGTTTTCTTAAGAAATTAAAAATCACTCAATCAATATATTAATGATTGAAAAGCAAAAAATGAACAAAGTTATTGAATTATTTTTTGCCAAAAAATAAAATTTAAATTGAATTAAAAATTATATACATTGAATATTAAAAAAAGTGAAAAGCCTTATTTTGAATATTTTTTTTCAATTTTAATTATTAATAAATAATTCTTGTCCACAAAAAAATAAAATAAAAAATTAATAAACTATTTTGATAGCAAAAAATATTTAATGAAATTAGTGAAGCAATAAAATAAATAATACACTAACCAAGTAATAATAAATTATTTAATTATTAAAATAAAAATAATTACAATTTAGAAATTATTAATTGTGAAATTTAGAACTTGACTTGGTGTATGCAGATCCAAAATCAAACACGACGGTGGTTTTTTCTTGCACGACTTCAAACAGAGGCATCTCCGAATTTACAAATTAATGAAAAATTTAATTAAAAATAATTCATTTAGCAATTTTTCGGCCAAAACCAGCATGAAAAAATAACAAAGTAAATGAAAAGTAAACCTATGACCAAAAATTTTACTGAACGAAAGTACGAAGCCGAATAAAGTTTCTTTCAAAAAAACTAAACTTAGATTAGATTTAAAATATAATTAATTACATTAATATTATTTATATTAGTAATTATTAATTATAATATCAACAGATACAGAGACCAAAATAATTCGAGGAAGAGATAAAGTGTGGAAAAGGAGAGAGATCTATATTTAAATACTGCTACGTGTATTGTTGTGTCTTTTGCCTGTTTGTGTATTTCTTTATTCTATACTGTTGTGTGTTGTATGTTAGATTGTTTTGCATTTGCCCGGTCACCGATCTGTTATAGGTGATGTATGATGAGACATGCGTTTGTGTAGAGTTCTGAGAGTTCTGATTGACCCTATCCATTCCCATTCAGTTATATCCTATGTCAATTTAAAAAAATGTAAAGTTCCAAAAAAAGAAAAAATCCAGGTTTGATTCAGATTTCAAAATCAAATGAAAATCAATTTATTCATTAAATCAAATAAAACAGAATCGAATCATGCAAGAAATGAATTAAGACTAAAAAGAATGCGAATTTTTGAATGAGCTTGTATTGGTTTATGCATTATACATATTACTGTGTTAATATCAGATTGTGATGAATGGCTCGTATCTCTTTTGATTTGCTGCTCCTATTTAGTGAGCCTCTCAATTTTGGCTGAACTGAACTAGATTTTAGTAAATTTTTGTTTTCGGCATCTAGCAAATTAAAACTTATTACTTTTATTCCGCTTTCTTTGTTCATGATGTGAAAATCCACGGTAAAGTTAAAGAAAGATGCAAATTTGAAAAATATATTTTTTTTAATATTTTATAATTTTTTACAGGAAGAAATAATAAAAATCGAAAATGAAAATACTCAATTAAAGATTGCTATAACCTGGATGTGTACGTGTAGTTGTCAGGAGAGTTCATTAGGAAGGTGTAGTTTGCAACCAGAGCTGGAGTTGTGTCAACCCAAATGAACTTTAGTGTGAATAAATGTTCAGCAGCCTGTCACATCAACGAACGACAGTTCGATAACAAGAGTGCCTCAATCCAAACTGTTACAGTTCTATTACACTCTTTCTAGTAAATAATCAGAGAAACCAACAACACGCGCAGACATTGTATATGAATAGGAATACATGTTGAACGACGCATCATACACGAAGCATGTGATAGGCGGAAATATTTTCGTCATATTCGAATCGAGCTCGTTCCCTGCACGCACTGCGAAACTGGCGACCTCAGCCGATAGATAATAAGATTTACTCGGCTGTCTAATTTCTAAGAGAACATCTCTACCTTATTTAATGCATGTATATCGCTAATTATTAAATAAAAGAACTTTCTGAAGTTTCGTCTCTTTCCATATAAATAGGAAATGTTGGGCAGGTTGCAATGTTGTTGGAGAGGCAACTCCGTCGACAGATTTCAAAGTGATCAAACAATTTTTACTGGTGATGTTTTACTGTCTGCAAAATGTTTATTTGTGTAACATAAACAACAAAATTAAGGTTAAACGACTATTTGATCTATTGCAAAGTTCAAGTTTATTTAAAACAATTTATTTTTGACATTTTGAAAAGTTGTTAGATTTCAATTTTTTTAAACCGTTGTTTTTGTGAAATTGTGAAACTAAAAAATAAAGAGGTTGACGCGTTCCTTTACTAACAAGTTTGGCAGTTGTCGCCTGAGAACGGTGGCGGACACTCGCAGACACCAGCCACACAGCTGCCTAGGTTGCATGTTTGTGTCCCATTACAAGCGACAGTGTGTTTCAATTGCTTTATTTTAATAAAGTATCGCAACACATGCACTTGGAATTTTTACCAATGGCAATCATGCCGTATGACTTTTTCACTAAAATGTTATAAAAAGAAATGTGAACATAGTGCCATGTAGTCTTAACAGTTGGAATTGTTGTTGCCATCTGGTGAAATTATTCAACTTCATTTAATATTGAATCAATTTGGTTTCAACAATTTAAATTCATATAATTTATACAAACACGCTAGAAAATTCAGTTATATATAGTAGTATTAAGAGATTTTAATAATTTGCTGAATCAAATTTTTTAAATATTCACGTGATATCAATTATTTGTCATTAATAACAGAATTATAAATAAACAACCACACAGAGACGACAGTTATATTAATATAATGAGCAAACTGTTTACATCTGCCACAAGCTTCAGCTGATGGTTCCATGCAGCTCAACACGAAGAACAATGCGAACGATCAGCTAACAAATCAGATCAATTATTATTTTCACGAAATCATGTCTTAACAATTTATTAAAGTACATATTAGAAAATTTCAAGTCACAAATCCGTAAGCAAGGAATTACGACATTGAGTCTGTTGCATAAAGGAGGATCAAACCAGCCTGCCTCGCCTGAACTCTCTTGGTAGTATTCAGTTGACTTGATGATTTAATGATTTCAAAACATATGCGATGTTGATATCGGTGACTATAGCAATAAAGTAATGGTTACTATGCCTGGCTGGCTTGCTGCCTGGCTGACTGGCTGGCTGACTGGCTGGCTGACTGGCTTGCTTGCTGGCTGACTGGCTGGCTGGCTGGCTTCTACGCTGAGATTTCCGTCTATCCCATGCGAATGTGTGTGATGCGCTGATTTGCGCTTATTTAAATGCGCTGTTTGTTTTTCTGCTGATACCGTTGAAGGATAGCAAAAATAACGATAACAATTTCTTAGTTTAAAACTTTTATACAATACAACTGTAATATAAAAAAGTACTCTTAATATTGTTAGACTATGAACGTTGTATTACTTTGCAGCTAATTAACTGAGATACAATTTTTAATTGCTGTGTATCTCAGAAGCTGGAACCTGTAAAATATTTTCGTTGTCATTTTCTTTTTTCTCAACCAAAAATTAATAAGATTTGACTAAAACAATAAGGAAACAAATAATTTTTATTATTCATTCATTAACTTACCTAATCATTTCTGCATCATCTAGCACCGGCAAATTTAATTAAAGTCAATTACTTATGATGTATGACCACAAATTATGATGAATTCGTATAACGTTAATAACAGTAGTAGCTATATATGAATATACATCTAAATATTATCTAAACAATTTTATCAATGAATTTATAAAGGTATCGTGTATTACCAAACAATGCGGTAATGTAAATCTACTTATTTTAAAAATTCGAGACAATAGCTTGGAAGAAGTCTCCATTCACGTTGAATTGATTACGTATATAGACAGTCAGACTTCATTAATAATATTGAACATACATTAACGCACATTCAGGCTGTCTTTAAAGGAGATATACGTTGTTAATTTATGAGATATAGTATGTTATGTTATTTATATGGAATATAAAAGTTTAGAATTATATATATATATATATATATATATATATATATAATATTTTCCAATATATAATTAACGGTTTCAGATAATTTTAGTTAATCTAGCTTTGTATCATTCAAGATAGGCACTTAATAGATTGCCATGTTTTACATTATGAATTCAGGCATGCTATTACGTAAATCAGAAAAAACTACACTCAAAACATCAAAGTTGATTTTTTACTTTTTGTGCATTTTAAAATTGTGTAGTCCTCTGTCAACGTTAACAAAGTTCGGACGGATTTCGAACCATCGTGGTTCCGACTCGTGCGTTAGAGATGCTGCAGATGTTCAGTATGTTTATTCCTACGATTCCCACACCAAATGTGTTGCTATGTGCTCCGCGGTGGATGGTTGTGTTGGTTGCAGTTATTACTCCGATTCAATGACCTGCCAGCTTTTCCTCAATAGGTCTCTCCTTGATTTGGAGTTTAATGCTTCAACGAGTTGTGTGTTCTTCCAGGTTAGTATATACTAGATTGTGACATTAAACTTTTTATTATGACATTGTTATTGTGATATTGTGACATTATTTTGTTGTGACATGATAACTTTTTAACGTCAGATGACGACGGCGCTTAAGTTTCATGAGAACAAATTTATTTTTGATGAGAAATTATATTTCGAATAGAAAACTCCTAAAAAATGTAACCGTTGACGATCTTTTTGTGTTTTTTTTTTCACTTTTTATTCGTAATTTCCATAGAAAACATTTTTTATTACATTAAGTTGCAGAAAATTTGCCTAATGTTATAGTTGCTCTGATATTTAAAATTCAGCCCTAATCAACAACTCCATTCATTATTTAGTTGTTTTCTAATGAACTTATATATGTAAAACAGGTTTAATGTAAACTAGAGCCTAACATTGTCATTCGGTTATATAGCCGCTGTTGAAAGGCGAGGAGCCCAGTTCAGCATTGCAGTTTGAATGCGAAGTGATCCTTGTCGCGATCCCATGCAGTTTATGCGATACGTAGATTGACGCGTATTTGCTTACGCTGTGTGTGTGCGTGTGTGTGGTGTGTGCGTGCGTGCGTGTGTGTGTGTGTGTGTTCTTAATACAAAACCCCTGAGTGATGCAACAAGAATGTTTGCATCAATTTTACTTTTGCGAAATGCGTTTATCTATAATTATCGTTTGTTATCTTTTCAACAGAATTATCATTATGAAGCATTAATAAAAGGTGAGTTGTTATTTGAAATTTTAAGCATTTCATAAATTGAAACAGCTTTTGATTGTTGCTGAGCAATTAATTTGTATAATAAATATTAAATTTTGCACCAATAATAATATTAATTGAAATTATTACTAAATATTAATGATAATTATGCAACACGTATAAAACAACGCCTCTGTTTCGAGACGTACTCTACCATTACATTGGTTGCTATGCGGACAACAAAACCAGAGATATGGATTTATACTCAACATGGTCCAATAAAATGTCACTTGAGTACTGCTGGGATGTCTGCGTTAACAAAGGCACCCCCTACTTTGCGACCCAAGTTTGAATATTTTATATAAAAAATAGATTAATATTCAAAATATTAAGTACAACAACGACATAGAACAGATATTTGTTACTTTATGCGGGTGAAAAATCTTTTAGTTTAAGTTTTCATGTTATGCTATCAGTGGCGTAGTCGTTGGGCTGATATTTGCATTTTTTGCTCATCACACACAATTTTTAACAAACTTCGCTGTCAAAGCCAGCGATTTTTTTCCAAAATTTGATATTTTCACTCCAAATTTTTAGAAACTGACATGGAAACTTTACCAAAATTTGTCAGCCCTAAGTTGCCATTTTGTCTACGCCTCTGTCTGTTATGTTATCAATTTTAATGATTTCTTTGTTAATCTTAAACTACACATTCCAGTATTATGGCCAATGCTTTTGTGATCTGAAATATGGAACGTACGGCGCGGTTGATGGCTGTAAATATAAATGTTCTGGCTCTCCAATTCAAATTTGTGGTGCTTCTTATAAAAACAGCGTTTATTGCGGTAGTAATGCCTTTTTTAATTTTAAAAATTCAACGTGAAATTGATAATAATTTACTAAGATATGAGTAATGAGAAGTTGAGCTTACTCAATTTGAAACTATTGAACAAATATTTGACCTATATATAAAAATTCACTTTTAATCTCTCAAACTTGAAGAATTAAAATTGTGAAATTGTTTAAAAATAACGATAAATACTAATAATAATTGATATTTTAAAAAATAGTTTGCAATGATACACACGGCGCTGGCTGTCCCTGCCAGCCAACGATCGCTTACAACGGGCAACTGGTGGATTTCAATTGAGGAACTCTGTGAACAATGATTAAAAAATAGAAAACAATGAACGACAATGAAAATATTATAAACAACGATAAAATAAAGAAAAAGAACAATGAATGAATTATATTCCGGATTTCTTGTGAACGAATAATTTGCTTTACTGTCGATCATTTTATCATTTTTAATTTTAAAATTATATACAACCTATCATCTGTAAGTTTTGAATTTTTTCAAATAAATGACGTTTTTATATAGGGAGGCTTTAATATTATTGATTTATTAAACAAATCTATCATTTATAACAATATTCTTTTGAATCGTTGTCTTTAATTATCAAAAGATCATAAACTTTGACTTTAGTCAGAAATTTTAATATTCAGTCGCAAAATTATAAATCCAACTCACAAATTTGTGAGTTGTGCCCATAATTATTTGCTCACAAATTTTGAAGCTTCACCAAAACATGTAAAATTAACGTGATTTAATTGGTGACAGTAGAGGAAGGATGACGTGGTTGCTGTTATTTTCCACTTTCTTGAACAGTCTTGAATCGAGTGTGTTGAATATTTGAGGGATGGTAGGATATGATGCTAAGGTGTCGTCAGCGTATTTGATGATTTGATTAGAGCTATGAAGAGTTTTGAGTGTAGAAGCATTGATGATAAAGGTAGATGGTCCAAGAACAAGACCTTGAACTACACTAAAATTAATAGGTAGAGTAGATGAAAGATTAGAGCTAAAAAAAGTGGAATGACTCATATTAGAAAGAAAATTTATTATAATATTTTAAATGTTGTCAGGTAGATGAAGAGAGGCTAACTTATTTGAAAATGAAAAATGATTGAGAGTGTAAAAATCTTTAGAAAAGTCGGAAGCAATAAGATGAACATGATTATTATTTTAAAGAAGAGATGTTGTTACAGAAGTAAGAGAAGCAGGTCTTTCTTAACGTATGAAGGACGGAGAGTGAGGTAAATTATTGATGAAGATATAGATGAGCAAAGCAAACTGGTCTTGTAATAGTGGTTTGATGGACGGATGATTAAAACATGGATAAATGAATGACCTAACGACGAATTTTTCTAGAGTACGTGAAAGTATGGGGGCCATAGATATTAGGCGATAATCTATTGGTGATGATGGGTGTTTTTGTTTCAAGAATTGGATGAATTGGGCTGGATTTCTATTGTGATGGGATGAATAAATGCATTAAGCAGTGATTGTAGCGAAAACTTATGGTGCTGCTGATGAATTGTGCAATGAATTGTAGAAACCATGATGGTGGACTGTCTGGACCTGTACCGGATGGGTAGGCCTTCCTAAACATGTGCAAGACGGAGAGCAAGGTAAATTGTTGATGACGACTATTGATTGCTGTTGCTTTTGTTGGTAGAGTTTTGTAGAACGGGTCGGTTGACATGAAAGCAAATTGAGTGCTGAGTATGTTAATATTAAGCACAAGCACATTCGTGCTCCGTTTATTTAAATCATTAAATCTTATCAATACAGCAGCGTATTTAAAATCAGAAAAGTTGGATTCGGATAAACAATAACAATAATGGGAATAACGAAATAAAAACAAATCAGATGAAAGTAGAAAATTAAACTGAATTTTAAAGAAACTTGAAAAATTTAAAAAGTAAACCAATAAATTTCAATAATTCACATTTTTCAGAATGATATTAAATCAAGAATGTTGGTTAGATTTCAAATTTATTAGCATATAAAAAAATCAGTTGTTCGTGAATAGTAAACTCATTATAAGTTTCCTAATCTATATGCGCATGAACAAACATTTTGTCTTTTTGTCAATAAAAACTTCATGTGAAAAATGTAAATAATAGCAACTTTTATTGTGTTAAGAATTTAAACAATAAACATTAGATCGATATTCCAAACATGCATTCACTCGAAAACATCGTTAAAGAAAATACCCGATGGCAATCGCTTCAATAAATGATAATACGCAAAATTTCCAATTTCAACGATATGTAATAAAATAAATTTAATAGGCTTGAAAATAAAATTTCTTTTTTATCGTAACTAACATGAAGACCGTTTCAACACTGTCAGAATTTTGAAAATGATAGTGAACATTTTCCTAACTTTTTATTTGATTGAAAATGCTATTCTGAGCAATTTGTTCCTACCAATTAAAAATTATTATGGCTTGAGAACTTGTGTCAAAGATGTCTCTGATTTTGAATTTGTCTTCAGATACGACTCTGTGATGAAATGTCTTTCAAAGTGTTCAACTGTGGAAAATTGCATTGGTTGCAACTATCAACTGGGCTTGAGGAGGTGTTCGCTGTTTATTAACCGAACAAAACTTGCTACCAGGCACGACGTTGCAGATTCATGTGCATTTTATCAGGTAGTACTAATACGACTTTCTTTTTATTTAACTTTACTTATAGTTGTTTTAATTATTCCATTTTATTTTCACAACAGCAACGATAATAATAATAATATAATATAACAATAATACTGAAATAATAACAATAGTTATTATTATTTTAATGAAAGACGTAGCCAAGGAGAGGGTTTGGGGCTGAAAAATCGGAATAAATGTAGCAATGTCTATCAATATTGAAATTTCCTCTTTTAATATTTTTAGACACCCGCAACGGTCAAATTTAGAAAATTTTTCAAGTTTTAAATTAGAAAAGTTTGCTGACTTCTTAAAAATTCCAAGCTCTGCAAAAAATTTAGTCCTTCTTCTGAATAATAATTTTTAGCTTAATAAGATACGGAGAGTTTTTTTTACAATAATTAACAAATAAAACTTATTAAAAAAGTAGAATAAACGAATTATTTAAATTTTTTTCAAACTTTTCAATCTGAGTCAATTTTAAATTTATTTTTCAGGAAAAAGTTTCGTCATCACAAACAAAGTTTGATGGTAGATTTTTAATTTTATTGAAAAAATAATAAATAAGCAACTTTTTAAATTAATTCTAGTTACGTCAATTAATCTTACATTTGGAATGAATTTCAAATATTAAGATGGTGAATAACTTTAACCAAGTTATTGACAAAACTTTCAAGAACTATCTGCTAGGTACATCGGTTGTTATGCTGATACTTGGGCCCGAGATATGAGCTACATGGTGTCAAACCTTCCCGCGATAACACTTGAGAATTGTTGGAAATTGTGTTACCAGCTCCATTACTCTGTCTTTTCAATACAGGTCTGTTTTTATTTTTCAACGTTATGAAATTGTCACCAAAGTTTTGGAAATTTAGTTTGTTTTTCATTGAACTATCGTCTTGTAAAACTGTTGAAGTTGCGGTTTGTTGAGTTTTGGTTAAAAATTCAGATTCATAATAGAATGTGGTTATATTATTGAACTTAAATTAGCAGTACAATAATTATTCTGATTATTTGACAGTTTGATTCAACGATTAATTGACATTTCTCCTAATATAATATTCAAACTAATAAGCAAAACTTTGCTTTGTTTCGAAACATTATTTGCATCTATTTTCGTTATCGTGTGGTTTCGTGTCCACAAGATATTAATAACTTTCCTGAATTCCTGGTTTCCCAGATAAAAAAATAATTCATTCTATGTTAAGTTCTAAAAGCTAAATAAATAAAAAATAAGATATGTATTATTTCGTAATTTGCTCGTCAGTATGGCTTACAATGTTTTTGTTCGAACTCGTTCGGAGCATATGGACTGAGTGAAGGTTGTTGCACCAGCTTATGCACTGGATCTGACGAAGCAAACTGTGGTGGATCATTTTGCAACAGCATTTTCAGCAGTAAGTCCTACTTGTTTGAATGTTCTTAATAGTTTCGTTTCATTTTTATAATTACAACCTGTTTTTAAAACAAATTAATATTGGTGTTCGTTCGAAAGAAGTAACATTTCATTTCATTCTACATTAAAATGCTCTCCCTTATCGTCGAATATTTATTTGGTTTATTCTGAGTATTCTTTGCAGAGAAAATTTGAGAAAGTTAATTCGTGTGTTTTTTGTAGTTTTATAGTATTGTTATAAATACAGCGCTCCAAAATTATGACAATAATTATCTATGGTACGCCGTATTGTAAAATGTCTATGCATTGCAAAAAAAAAGCTGTATAAAAGGGACGACATACGAAACGAAGAGATGTGTGTTTACAGAAAGTTACCAAGTGAAGCAAGTACGAGTTGAAGTGCGAGTGTTTTACAAATTGAATTCGTTCGTTTACAAGTGTGCGATTATAAAATAATTCATTCTGAAATTATACGGCTTCTCTAATGAATTCGTATGGGACAATTTATCGTTTGAGTTGATTCTTATCGGATATGCGAACTCTACGATTGTCGGTTGTAAACAACCCCAGCGAATTTATAACAGTATATTTTGAAATAATTTAGTGTAAAACAATTAGTCGTTTTGGTGTACGGAGCTGAAAATAAAGGAATTGTCTTAATGTTTCAAACACGATAACATGCCTGTACACTTCTAAATTAGTTTACGTTAATAAACAATTCTGAAAAACTAAACCTTACCGAATTTCTAAATGCTGTTAAAATATTTACGACACGGACAAAAATAAAAGCGGAAAATGTATTAATTTTAAGCGTTCAAACTTTGGCCAATGCTTTGGCTAATGCTTTGGCTTGCTTAAAATAATAGTTGCATTAATCAATTAAAAATGTTTGCATGACATAATATATGTATATATGATGCTATCGATGAAGAAAAGGAGACCAAAGAAGATGACCAGCCAATTAAGAAACCTCACACCTAATTCGCATCAAAGTTCAATTTTACAACACCAAAGTTAATTTTTACGTCAAAGTTAATCTTGACAAAGTCAATATTTCCCTATATACATCAAGGAGCACTGACGATGATTCATTCGGAATCGAAATATGGCCTTATTTGCAGCATGAATTCGAAAAATAAGTTTATTTTGAATTTTTATAAACTAAACGTTCACCAAAAAACTTTAGTGAGAAAAATCGAAAAAACGAACTACAAACATATTAACGCCAAACATTCGGTAGAATTTATAGAATATTTTAAATATATATATATATATATATATACATATATATAGACATGTATATATATATATATATATATATATATATATATATATGTATATATATAATAAAATTTCTGTAACAAAAGTACAGTAAATATTTGTATTTGTCTTTGTACCGTTTATATTTCAGGTGCCAACTTTAAACGTTATTGCATCTACCATATAGTTCGAGTTAATTGGGAAGCCTCTTTATTTAATGCAACATATTTTTGTTTGAACGAACAATCACGTGACCTTATCAGAAAACAACTTTGTATAAATGAATATATGCATGCATGAGTGTGTGTGTGTGTGTGTGTGCTCAGCGCACGCTGAACGTGTGTATATGTATAAATAAGTCCCAAGCAAAATCAGGTGGTCCAATTAAATAAAATAGTTTTTAACTTAGTTATGATCAATCATTTTTCTGCTAGTTTCATTTCATTTAAGTTTTATTTGAAAGAGTTGATCAAATTATTTGTATGAATTTTGTATACGTGCAGTTTGCGACAAAGGGATGTACGGAGTGAACTGCAGCTTGAAGTGTACATGCGGTCCACAGTGTTTGTGTAACCGCCTCAGTGGAGCAGTCGTTTGAAGTTACTTATGAAGATAATTTACCAATGAACTTAATCTAAATGTTACTTTTACGTTTTATGTAAAGTTATATGTATTTACAAAGACAATTCAAGTATATTAAATATTCGATTCGTGATAGATTCGTAAAAATGTTCAGATTTGAACTTCAATATTTGTTGTCTTGAATTTATACACGCCTAAATAAAATTTGAAAAACTTTCAAAAAACAAAAATATAAAACGTTAATTGTTGTACGACAGACCAATTAAACGCGTTTGAACGGTTGGTTATTTATTTATTATATTCGAATTAGTTAACATTCTTGAGACGAAATGACCAAAGTGGATTTAAACACGGGACAAAAAGACACCTGCTTTGGGCCCCCAATTTTGAAAGTCGGCAACTTTTAAAGGCTTTAAATATGCTTACGATCTTAAATATCATGAATACTTTTCTATGCCTTTTTTTTATAAACTATTAATACATCTTATAATTGGGATAGCACAGTGGCATTGGAATTCCGGGCCTATTTTTCAGTAATGACAAATACTTTACGTTCGATAGTTTGGTTTTAATGAATATGGCATGTAAATCAGTTACCAAAATTTTAAAAAAATGTACCCAAATTAAAGAAACATCATTTATTAAAAAAAAACAAACATAAACGTAATTTATTAAAACAGTAATATAAATACACCAAGACTGATATATCTATATAATTGCCTTTTTTCTCACTTTCAGTTCTGCAAACTCGTCAATTAGTTTGTCATAGTTAATAGAATTATTCAACAACTTTTTTTCTATATAAAGTAATGATAAGCTATTTAATTTTTGTTGGCCCAACGTGGATCTTAAAAAATTCTTTATTCTACCCATTACTGAAAATGATCTTTCATCACTTGCATTGCTTACCGGAAGGGTTAAATAAATTCTCAGAATTACATTTAAATTGGGAAATGTTGCAATAATATTATTTTCCTGAATAAATGACCACATGGATACAGGCGAAGGCGAAATAATATTTTCTTTACTTATAAAAGTCTTACATTGAACTACTTCGTTTTTCAGTTCTTCTAGGTTTAAATCTTGTTCATAACATTTTAATTCCTGTAATGAAGAGTCATTGATATCACTGTCATAAAAAATTGTTTTAAATTTATTATTAATAGTTTTGTATGCTTTACATCTTTTCTTAATGTTGCTAATTAAAGAATCGCATAGAACAAAAAAAATATTCACTTTAAAATGTTCTTTGCCACTGAGTCTTATTTCAAGTTCTGGAGTTTCATCATGAAATAGTTTTCGTATTTTCTGTCGCTTTTTACCATTAATATATGCAATATCTTTAACTTATTCTGCTTCTTTTTCTAAATGATCAAAATCGTCTCTAACAGTTTGTATGAAATCTATTAGCGAATCATAAATTAGAACTGCTGTATTTAAGGATTCGTCTTTTTGCTGAAGAGACTTGTTTGAAGCATCTATTCTTTCTAAAAAATTTTCCCATATAGTAAGTAACAGTACATACTCAAATGTATCAAGTTTTTTGTATAAGTTGGCAGCTTCTGATCTTGTTAATGGTTTCTCATCATTGTTTGAGGAAAAATGACGTAAACAATGTTTAATTTCGTCATAATTTTCCTTCAAGGCTTTTACAGCATCGGAACGAGCTGACCATCTGGTGTCACAAACAGGTTTAATATTCAAGTGCTTGCTCTTACAATTTTTTTTTAATTCATTCCACCTATATGTAGAACTTGAAAAAAATACGTACAATTCTTGAACAATATTGAAAAAAGTGGTTATTTCCATGCAACTTTCGGCAGCAGCATTTCCAATTAAATTTAATGAATGATTTGAGCATGGTATGAAATGAGCAGAAAAAATATGTTGTTTTATTCTGGATTGGAGTCTCTTATATTTACCTGACATATTAAATGCGTTATCATAACTTTGTTCTCGACAATTAGTGATGTCTAAATCAATGCTATTTAAAAATTCTAAAATAACTTTTTCCAAGTTATCACCAGTATGAGAAAATATAGGTAGAAATCCCAAAAATCTTTCTTTTATACCACTTGGAAGAACGTACCGAATAATAACTGTAAGCCGATCTACATGAGATACATCAGGGGTTGAATCAATAATTAGAGAATAAAATTTAGCTTCCTTTATTTCGTCCAGTATCGTGAGTTGCAAATCTTTCGATATAATCAAAATAAATTCATCACATATGGTAGATGACAAATAACTTATAGTTCCGGTGCCGCAATTTGCATATCTTTTCATGTGTTCACGCAAAAATGGATCAAACTCGGATAAATATTTTAAAGCACCTATATAATTACCATTATTTTCACTAAAAAGAACTTCATTTTTACCACGAAATGTTAAAGAGTATGAAGAAATAAATTTGATTGTTGCTACCACACGTTTAAGTATCTCCCTCCAGTATTTTTTTTCATTCATAATTTGTTTTTCCAATTCAGTATCAATACGCCCAGTAATTTTAGATCTTTTTATATAAATTAAAATTGAGTTAATGTGGTCGCTGGAGTTTTCATGCTCTGACAATTTTTTATGGATATTTTTCCAATCATTCGTTCCTTTTGTCATTAGTGTTGTTTGCTTGGAAAATAATTTACAGACGTAACAGTACAATAAGTTGTTGGTTTGAGTATAAGCCAGCCAATCTCTTTTAACTTTTTCTTCACTATTAATTGTTCTGAAGAAGGAAGCGATAGTAAATTTTCTTGTGAATTGTTTTAACCCTTCGTTGCATCGAATGGAAGATGATTCTAGAGATCCATTTATCGATTTTGGTGGATTTTTGACATAATACTCTAGCATGGCGTCTGTTAGGTATTCTGGCCATAAAGCAATGTCGTTTACAAAACTCTCAGTTTCATCATTACTTTCAGATGATATAATATATATACCTTCTTTTGCTTCATCTTCACAATCGGAATTACTTAGTTTTTCCCGCTGATATTTCTGCTGAATAGATTCACATTTGTGTGATGCTTCTGGAGTTTGAGCAAGTAAAATTTGTGACAACATTTTGACATTGCAACAATTCAACACGGTTGCTGTAAGTCTTCATTCGATCTTGTTCAATGGAGGCTTTTGCTGATTTTAAAGATTCCACACCATTCAGCGTGCTATCAACCCTGGTGTATTTTGAAAAAAACTCGCTTCATAGGCATTGCATTTCCTTGTTGACGTTAGTCCTGAAATAGCTTCGTAAATTCAACCTCATCGTCTCCGTAGAGTTTTTCAGAGACTTTATATTGTGCCCATCAAATTTTGTTTGCAAGGGTTGGATTTTAGCCAAATTGAAAGCCAACTTCTGGCCGCTTCCGCGATCAAATTTTTCCAGTTGTTGGCAACCCATGTCAGAGATAGGTCGCCTGAACGCAGATGGAACTTCAGTTGACTTGGAATCAAACTTCTCAATATCTGCAGTTTTTGTTGTGGTTTAACATCCAAATTGGTGGTAGTTTTCAATAAACCTAACAATTTGTTAAGCAACTTTTTTTTGTTCCATTATTCTTACACTCAAAATCATACATTTTACTGCATTTGTCGATTCGCATCTCTATCCAGACCATTCGCACTACGCTTGATTGGGATTTGTGAGCTCCTGTGCTCCCGCTCCTTCTGTGCTATGTTCAATAAATGCTGAGTCATCTGCAAATTGCAGCCATGATCTGGATTTGATATCTGCAGCTAGACCCCACATATAACCACATTGACAAAACTCCAAACCCTACCAAGATTTTCATCAAGGGGTTGAAAAACATATGGAATAAAATTGTGGAACATGGGTCTCCTTTTGAGACTCCTTTGCCTATTTGAATTGAGGGAGTTGACAAAAAACCAGGACAGAGTAAATTGAGTAGATTGAGTTAATTAAGTTGGCTAACAGTGGCGGAACATGTTGATGTTTTAGCATCAGAAAAATTAAGTTGTGGCTAATTTTACCGAAGGCATGTGCAAATCTATCAATGTAACAAAAATTGCTCGTTGATGCCTCTTTGCGTCTCTCAGTAGATGTGCACGCATCTGCGCGTGCTTGTAATAATAATAAAAATAATAATAATTAAAAAAAAATTAATAAACTTAAAAACACCTCGTGTGATTGGATTCGACCTTAAATTTATCATCAAAGAATTTACGCGCAGAAAAGCACGTTGGAAAATTTGGATGCACCAGCAGGCGTTCATGTTCAGCTCAATGTGGCTGGTTTTAATGGCGAATAATTAGTGATTACTTGCTGTTTGATAACATCATCCTATGGAGAAAGTTTGATGGTGAAATGAGCGTTATGACTAATTCACTTTTCCGTGTTTCCTGATTTTGCTGTAGATTGAGCCATGTGCTTCTAGAAGTGGAGCCGATTGGAACATCACCGTTCAACTCAATTACGAACATAATTTTAATTTAAAGCCAACTACCTCAACCACTTCGTGATCGCTTCAAAAACTTCAAAGAATTAAACTTACTATAAGCTCATTAAAAATCCAAATATTCAGAACGATATGAAATCAAAAACGTTGCTTAGATTTCATATTTATTTGCGGTTTAAAAATTGCTAGTTGGCGTCTTATGAATGGTATAAACTCACAATGAGTTTCCTGATCTATATGCAAATGAACAAACCTTTTGTCTTGTTGTCAATAAATACGTTTATGTGCATAATGTAAATAAAAATAACTATTTTGTCTTGTATTCAATGTCAACTTTTATTATGTTCAGAATTTTCAAAAAAAAACCTCAGACCGATATTCCAAACATGCATTCACTCGAAACCATTTTTATGAACACAACTCGTTGGCAACTGCTTGAATAAAGAAGAATATGCAAATTTTTCAATTGTTTCAACGTAATGTAATAAAATATATTTAGTTGGCACGCAAATGAGATTTTTTTTTCATAACTAACATAAAATTGGATGTGCGTGACTGTTTTCATCCATGTAAGAATTTGTAACAACTAACGTTTTAAAATGATTATGAAGATTTTCTTAATGTCATATTTAATTGAAAATGCTATTATGAGAAATTTGTTCCTACCAATTAAAAATTATTATGGCTTGAGAACTTGTGTCAAAGATGTCTCTGATTTTGAATTTGTCTTCAGATACGACTCTGTGATGAAATGTCTTTCAAAGTGTTCAACTGTGGAGAATTGCATTGGTTGCAACTATCAACTGGGCTTGAGGAGGTGTTCGCTGTTTATTAACCAAACAAAACTTGCTACCAGGCACGACGTTGCAGAGTCATGTGCATTTTATCAGGTAGTACTAATACGACTTTCTTTTTATTTAACTTTACTTATAGTTGTTTTAATTATTCCATTCTACTTTTTTAAATACTAGTACTACTACTAGTACTACTAACACTTATAATAATACTATAACTAATAATAAGAAAATAATAATAACTGTTATTATTTTAATGACAAAGACGTAGCCAAAGAAATGGTTTGAGGCTGAAAAATGAAGATTAAATGTAACAATATCTTCATTGAAATTTAAACTTTAAAGATTTTCAGACCCTCACAACGGTCGATTTTGGGAAATTTTTTGAAATACTTTAGCTTTTTATAAAAAAAAGTGCAACAAATGTTTTAAATTAACGCTAGAACAGCCAAGAAATTTGTATACCTAAAACAGCCCAGGGGCGGATCCAGGTGATCTAGTAAGGGGTGGGCGATTTTTATCCATCATGGCAACCCACAACTGCCTGCAAGGCGGGCAAGCCCAAAAATAAAAAAACGTTTAAATTATTTTTCAATTTGCCCTTTAAATAACAATCTATGTGACTAAGACATTACGGCATATATGTCGCGATCGTATCAGCATCGGTAAAGACGGTGCAAGTGTGCACGCTCGCGGTAGCACGCATTCCCGTATCATGTCAGTAAACTTAAATCTACTCTGTTCTATTAAAAAGAGTGATGTAGTAATCATATTATTTACTACGGATCCCATTATTGTAGTGTTAAGTAATCCTTTAAAATATGCACTTTTTAATTTTATATCACTATTCACTTTTAAACAGTCTAACTTTCGTTTTCAAGCGCCATGATTGTGTATTGTGTTGTGTTACTTAAAAACGACAAAAATAGTAAATACAAGTTACTTTTAAATTAAAACATTCATTAATTATTGTTTATAATACTATAAAATATTAGGAACAATTACAGCAAACCATTATCATTGGAAGAAAATGAAGAGAACAAATTTTTTACAACCACAGAGTACTTTGGATTCATTTTTTGTGACGTTGAAGAGAAAAAAGTCTGTTGAAGCATTTACAACTAATTCTACTGTCACTACTGAAGTTGGTGGAACAACTAAACTTCCACTTCCAACCACATCAGCATAAGCTTCAACAAGTAATAGTATTTCTACTGAACATGTTGAACATGAGATAACAGAAACAAGTAATAATATGGACAGCAACAGCCGGAATATGAATGTCAATTCAGTAGTCATAGCTCATGATAGTCTTTTTTCTGAAAATGAACAGATTTCAACTGAGACTGGAACAGCTGAAATTGCTAAGGCATTTTCTAGTAAGATTTTAAATGCTGGGTTTATCAATGATATTGGAAAATTTGTTGGAACATTTATGGATGATTTGACTAAAAAAAGTCTGTTAGAATTGCCATGGAAGCCACCAGCTGACTACAAAATGCCACATTCACTTCACAAGAAGAAAAATTAACAAGAAAAGCGATATCTTAATCATTCTCATCTGGAAAAATATGAATGGCTAGTTTATTCAGATAATAAAAAAGGACTGTACTGCAAATATTGCTCATTATTTTCATACCACCTGACTGCAGGATCTCACAAACAAATGGAACTTCAGAAGCTTGTTAAACAACGATTACAAGTGTTTGCTGAACTGTTTGGCAATGATGGAGATTTAACAATGCATGACAAAGCAACATACCACAAGGAAGCTGTTGAAGCAGGGAGGTGTTTTTTAAAAAACTATAATGAACCAGCAATAAATATTGTAAACAGAGTAAATGCTTAACGGCTTCAGCAGGTTTTAGAGAATCGTCAAAGATTGATACCTATTGTGGAAACAATTATATTTTTAGGAAGGCAGAATATTCCATTCAGAGGGCACAGAGATGATGGCAGTATATTAGACAAAGATGATGAAGATTCTGATGTGATTAAAAATGAAGGTAATTTCCGAGAATTGCTAAAATTTAGAGTAAGCAGTGGAGATTCAAATTTAGAAAATCATTTAAAAACGGCTAGAGCATCAGCAACCTATATTAGCAAAACC